CCCCCACCTCTCCCCCCCCTCCTTCCCCCCCCTCTTCCCCCTGCCCCCACCCCTCTCTCCCCACCCCTCCACCGTGAACTGTAGAAGACCACAGGGCTTGCACAGTTCGGCAGCAGCAGGCAGCCCTGGTTCAGTGCTCCAAGCCAGGGGGTGGGGCCATCCCTGTAACAGACCGAGAGGCAAAAAAATAGCCTTGACGAGTTCCGCAAAGAACCAAGTGAATCTAAGATGCGTGCGTGTGTCACTGTGTGTGTTGTCTCTGGTGGGGAGCGGTGGCGTAGTGGTTAGCGCGCTGCGCTATGAACCCGGCGACACGAGTTCGATTCCCGCTCACGGCAAAACACCAGTGACGATTATCTGAACCGGTCCTGGGCCTCCCCTAGGTCGACTCGGCCTCAAATGAGTACCTGGTGCGGTGTGTAAACATCGCCACTCGGGAGACAAAGGCGGTCGGGCGTGGTGCTGGCCACCCACCCCCTCGTGTACCGTTCCGGCCTTCATAGGTGCTCGCTAACAGCACTTGCCCCTACAGTCTGTTAAGGCTATACGGGGGATCTTTGTCTGGAGCACGTTTGTTTGCATGTTTTACCACTGAGTTGTCATCACAAAGAGAACCATAGACTCGCACAGAGACCCATAGGCTCACAAAGAGACCCATAGACTCGCATAGAGACCCATAAACTAACATAGAGACTTAGACTCGCACAGAAACCCATAGACTCATCACACTGAGACCCATAGACTCACACAGAGACCCATAGACTCGCATAGAGACCCATAGACTCATCACACAGAGGCCCATAGACGCACACAGAGACCCATAGACTCATCACACAGACCCATAGACTCATCACACAGACCCATAGACTCATCACACAGACCCATAGACTCATCACACAGACCCATAGACTCATCACACAGACCCATAGACTCATCACACAGACCCATAGACTCGCATAGAGACCCATAGACTCATCACACAGACCCATAGACTCATCACACAGACCCATAGACTCATCACACAGACCCATAGACTCATCACACAGAGACCCATAGACTCATCACACAGAGACCCATAGACTCATCACACAGAGACCCATAGACTCATCACACAGAGACCCATAGACTCACACAGAGATCCATAGACTCGCACAGAGAGACCCATAGTTTGTTCTCCTTCCAACGCACCTCCAATTAGCGGAGAAGGCGTTACCTAGGAAACGGCGTTGCCGCCATGGCAACGTGGAGTTGCCACCTCTAGCCCGGGCAGCAAACAGCAGCCGTGGCCTCTGTTGAGGTTCCTCGCTCGCCTGAAGGTGGCGGCAGCGGCGGCGGTGGCGGCTGCAGCGGTTCGCGTGGTGAGCACTGCCGTGGTTTCGCTTGGTGGCGGAGTAACCCTCACCACCCTCACCCTTACCACCCTCCATCCCCCCCCCCTCACCCATCCTCCGCCACCCCCAGGAGGCGATCGTGATGTCGGAGGAGCTGGGCCAGGACCTGGAGCACGTGGAGGTCCTGCAGAAGAAGTTTGAGGAGTTCCAGACGGACCTCGGAGCGCACGAGGAGCGAGTGAACGACGTCGACGGCCTTGCCAACAAACTCCTTGAGGTGCCGCCCCCCCCCCTACACCCCCCCTCACACCCCCACCCCCATCCGCCCACACCCCCCACCTCCTCCACCCACACCGCCCACACCCCCCCAGTGGCTGCCGTACGTCATGGGAACGAGGAGAAAGGGTTCATCTTCTTGGTTCTTTCGGGAAAGTCATCATGTAGAACGGAAATAATAAAATATTAAAAATAAAACATAATAAAATAATTCTCACGACGTTTCGGCCACAACGCAAGCAGCCGTCCTCAGGTGAAGAACAGGTCTGTCGGGAAGACAGCGTCTGAATGAAACAACCCCAGGCTTGGAGTGTCTATTTTTCAATTTAAAGCTTTTGTGACTGCAGGGATTCATCTTCTTAGTTCTTTCGGTAAAGTCATCACGTAGAAGGGAAGTAATAAAATAATAAAAATGAAACATAATAAAATACAATTCTCACGACGTTTCGGCCACAACGCAAGCAGCCGTCCTCAGGTGAAGACCAGGTCTGTCGGGGAGACTTTACCGAAAGAACCAAGAAGATGAATCCCTGCAGTCACGAAAGCTTTAAATCGAAAAAATTAACCCGTAAAAACTAAGTTTTTTCACTATAAATCCTTTATATGCGTGGCATCGGTTTTATTTTATTATTCATTTCTGTTTTTCTTGAGTAAGAGTTTCATTTTTATCACATTGGTATTTTACATAAAATATGAAATTTTTTTTTCCTAAAAGGTGGAAAATTTTGGAAAAAAATTTTCACGAAAATTAAATGTCACGCACAATGAGTCTGTGTGCAAAATGTCAGCTCGATTGGATCACGGGAAGTGGGTTAAAAAACGACCGAAAGGTTTGCACTGTCGTAAGCGCGCAAGCAAGCGAACTTAATATAAAGGATTTAAACAAGAAAAAATTAACCCGTAAAAACAACGTTTTTCACTATAAATCCTTTATATGCGTGGCGGCTCGAGTCCTCTCGTCCTCTGGCTTGAGATGGCTGCCACCTATGGGTCAGATGATTGCCTGCCACCATTAAGCAATTGGTAATTAAATATTTTAAAAAAATTCCTAAAATGTTGAAAATTTTGGAAAAATTTTTCACCAAAATAAATTTTTACGCACAACGAGTCTGTGCAAAATGTCAGCTCAATTGGATCGCGGGACGCGGGTTAAATAAACGACCGAAAGATTTGCACGGTCGTAAGCGCGCAAGCAAGTGAACTTAATATGAAGGTAGATTTGAAGCTTTCGTGACTGCAAGGATTCATATTCTTAGGTTTTTTCGGTAAAGTCACGTAGGTAAAACATCAAAATCAATAAAAGTAAAATAAAATAAAAAATCACGACGTTTCGGAGGCAACACAAGCTTGTGTTGATTTTGATGTTTTACCTACGTGACTTTACTGAAAAAACCCAAGAATATTAATATAAAGGATTTAGAAATGAGGAGCAAGGGCTTGAAGGCCGACCTTGGTCTTGTGGGCGGCGCAGGAGTCTCACCCCGAGCAGCAGCAGATCGGCAAGCGGCAGGAGGAGCTGACGGCGGCCTGGCTGCGCCTCAAGTCGCTCGCCCTGCAGCGCCAGGAGAAGCTGTTCGGCTCCGCGGAGATCCAGCGCTTCAACAGGTGCGGGGCAGGGGGGGGGGGGTGGTGAGTGGGGTGGTGAGTGGGGTGGTGAGTGGGGTGGTGAGTGGGGTGGTGAGTGGGGTGGTGAGTGGGGGGTGAGTGGGGGGGTGGGGGGGGTGAGTGGGGGGGTGGGGGGGGGTGGTGAGTGGGGGGTGAGTGAGTGAGAGATCCAGCGCTTCAACAGGTGCGGGGCGGGGGTGGTGAGTGGGGGGGGGGGGTGAGTGGGGGGGTGAGTGAGAGATCCAGCGCTTCAACAGGTGCGGGGGGGGGGTGGGGTGGTGAGTGGGGGGGTGAGTGGGGGGTGAGTGGGGGGGTGAGTGGGGTGGTGAGTGGGGGGTGAGCGAGTGAGTGAGAGATCCAGCGCTTCAACAGGTGCGGGGCGGGGGTGGTGAGTGGGGTGGTGAGTGGGGGGGTGAGTGGGGGGGTGAGTGGGGGAGTGAGTGGGGGGTGAGTGGAGGAGTGAGTCGGGGGTGAGTGGGGGGGTGAGCGAGTGAGTGAGAGATCCAGCGCTTCAACAGGTGCGGGGTGGGGGCGTGAGTGGGGGGTGAGTGGGGTGGTGAGTGGGGGGTGAGTGGGGTGGTGAGTGGAGGGGTGAGTGGGGTGGTGAGTGGGGGGGTGAGATATCCAGCGCTTCAACAGGTGCGGGGGGGGGGTGGTGAGCGGGGTGGTGAGTGGGGGGTGAGCGAGTGAGTGAGAGATCCAGCGCTTCAACAGGTGTGGCGGGTGAGCGGGTGAGTGAGCGGGGGCGAGGGTGAGTGAGCGGGGGCGAGGGTGAGTGAGCGGGGGCGAGTGAGTGAGAGATATGGGTGATAGAGTGAGCGAGCATGCAAGGGCGTGAGTGAACGAGATGGTCAGTGATCGGGCGAGAGAGTGGGTGAGCGAGAAACGGGGCGAGTGGCTGAGCGAGAAACGGGGCGAGTGGGCGAGCGAGAAACGGGGCGAGTGGGTGAGCGAGAAACGGGGCGAGTGGCTGAGCGAGAAAAGGGGCGAGTGGGCGAGCGAGAAACAGGGCGAGTGGGCGAGCGAGAAACGGGGCGAGTGAGCGGGCGAGTGAGTGGGTGAACGAGAAACGGGGCGAGTGGGTGAGCGAGAAACGGGGCGAGTGGGCGAGCGAGAAACGGGGCGAGTGGGCGAGCGAGAAACGGGGCGAGTGGGCGAGCGAGAAACGGGGCGAGGGGCGAGCGAGAAACGGGGCGAGGGGTGCGAGCGAGAAACGGGGAGTGGGGAGCGAGAAACGGGGCGAGTGAGTGGCTGAGCGAGAAACGGGGCGAGTGAGTGGCTGAGCGAGAAACGGGCGAGTGAGTGGCTGAGCGAGAAACGGGGCGAGTGAGTGGCTGAGCGAGAAACGGGGCGAGTGAGTGGCTGAGCGAGAAACGGGGCGAGTGAGTGGCTGAGCGAGAAACGGGGCGAGTGAGTGGCTGAGCGAGAAACGGGGCGAGTGAGTGGCTGAGCGAGAAACGGGGCGAGTGAGTGGCTGAGCGAGAAACGGGGCGAGTGAGTGGCTGAGCGAGAAACGGGGCGAGTGAGTGGCTGAGCGAGAAACGGGGCGAGTGAGTGGCTGAGCGAGAAACGGGGCGAGTGAGTGGCTGAGCGAGAAACGGGGCGAGTGAGTGGCTGAGCGAGAAACGGGGCGAGTGAGTGGCTGAGCGAGAAACGGGGCGAGTGAGTGGCTGAGCGAGAAACGGGGCGAGTGAGTGGCTGAGCGAGAAACGGGGCGAGTGAGTGGCTGAGCGAGAAACGGGGCGAGTGAGTGGCTGAGCGAGAAACGGGGCGAGTGAGTGGGTGAGCGAGAAACGGGGCGAGTGAGTGGGTGAGCGAGAAACGGGGCGAGTGAGTGGCTGAGCGAGAAACGGGGCGAGTGAGTGGCTGAGCGAGAAACGGGGCGAGTGAGTGGCTGAGCGAGAAACGGGGCGAGTGAGTGGCTGAGCGAGAAACGGGGCGAGTGAGTGGCTGAGCGAGAAACGGGGCGAGTGAGTGGCTGAGCGAGAAACGGGGCGAGTGAGTGGCTGAGCGAGAAACGGGGCGAGTGAGTGGCTGAGCGAGAAACGGGGCGAGTGGCTGAGCGAGAAACGGGGCGAGTGAGTGGGTGAGCGAGAAACGGGGCGAGTGAGCGAACGAGTGAGTGAGCAAGAAACAAGACGGGCGAGTGAACGAGTGAGTGAGTGAGCAAGAAACAAGACGGGCGAGTGAGCGATAGTGTTGATGAGTGAGGTGCCTCGCGGGCGAGTGGGCGAGCGTGCACGGTTTGGTTGACACCCCCCTCCCACCCCCTCCCCCCGCCCCAGGGATGTGGACGAAGCGATCGGTTGGATCAAGGAGAAGGAGCAGCTGATGTCGTCCAACGACTTTGGCCGCGATCTCGCCGGCGTGCAGGCGCTGCTGCGCAAGCACGAGGGGCTGGAGCGCGAGCTCGCCGCCCTCGAGGACAAGGTCAGCGCTGGTGGGGGGGTGTGGGTGGGCGGGTGGTGGGGGGGTGTGGGTGGGCGGGTGGTGGGGGGAGGTGCAGGGGCGGTCTTCCACCTTGCGGGGAGCGGTGGCGCGGCTGTTAGGCACGCTCGCCACGCCGCTCCGTCTCGCGCGCCGCGCCGGCCTTGACGGGCACTGCTCGCTATCGACGCTTGTCCCCTTGACTGGTCTGTTCAAAGGCTACCTGGGGGATCTTTGTCTTTGTGTGTGCGTGTGCGACCCGGCCTCAAATGAGTACCTGGTACGGTGTGGAAATCATCGCCACTGGGGAGACAAAGGCGGCCCGACCGTGGTGCTGGCCACCCATCCCCTCTCGTGTACCTTTCTGGCCACCATAGATGCTCGCTAACAGCACTTGCCCCAGTAGTCTGTTCAAGGCTCCACGGTGGTGAGATGTTAACAACCTCGCCTGGTATGGAGGAGGTCGTGGGTTCGATCCCGACCCTTGGCTATGCCTCCTGTCCATTTGAAGTTTGCGTGTCTCTCTCATCATCATCACGGTGGCGAGGAGATGTTAACTACCTCGCCTGGTATGCAGGAGGTCGTGGGTTCGATCCCGATCCTTGGCTATGCCTCCTGTCCATTTGGAGTTTGCGTGTCTCTCTCATCATCATCATGGTGGCGAGGAGATGTTAACAACCTCGCCTGGTATGCAGGAGGTCGTGGGCTTTGCGTGTCTCTCTCTCTCTCTCTCTCTCCCCGTGGTGGTTCTGTGGATTTTTCTCCGGGTCCTCCGTTCTCTTTTCCCTCATTCAGAATCGACGTCACGCGTTCAGAGTTAGTTGGCTGCTGTTATAAATGTCCACGGCGACGATGATGATGATGATTATAAGCTGCGTCCGCAGCTCAGCGGGGAGCCTTACCTGTTCAAATAAGAAATCTTTCTTGAAATGGTTGTACACGATTACTCTCCTTCCCCGACATTCCCTCCTCTCGCTCTGCTCTAAATTCCCGCGTGACGAACGGCCGATTCGTTGAGCTGCCCGTCACGTTCGTGGTGGCCGGGGGGTCCGTGAAATACGAATAAAATGTTGGGTCTAACGGGTTGTGGTTGGTGTTGTGGCGTGCGCGTAGGTGGGGACGCTGTGCGCGGAGGCGGAGCGCCTGCAGAAGAGTCACGCGGCCAGCGCCCCGCAGATCCAGGTGAAGCGCGAGGAGCTCATCGAGAACTGGGAGTGCATCCGCAACACGGCCATCGACCGGCACACTCGCCTCGAGGACTCGTACAAGTGAGCCGACGCGCGGCACACACACACGGCACACACGCACGCGGCACACACACACGGCGCACACACACGGCGCACACACACGCGGCACACTCGCCTCGAGGACTCGTACAAGTGAGCCGATGCACGGCACGCACACACGCGGCACACACACGCACGCGGCACACACACACGGCGCACACACACGCGGCACAGACGCACGCGGCACACACACACGGCGCACACACACACACGGCGCACGCACACGCGGCACACACACACGGCGCACGCACACACACGCGGCACACACACACGGCGCACACACACACACGGCGCACGCACACGCGGCACACACACACGGCGCACACACACACACGGCGCACGCACACGCGGCACACACACACGGCGCACGCACACACACGCGGCACACACACACGGCGCACACACACACACGGCGCACGCACACGCGGCACACACACACGGCGCACACACACACACGGCGCACACACACGCGGCACACACACACGGCGCACACACACACACGGCGCACACACACGCGGCACAGACGCACACGCGGCACACACACAAGGCGCACACACGACCCGCTTTGCTGCACACGCATGTGGCTACGTGTCGGCGCGAAAGAAGTTTAACGTACAAAGATAAACACGCACCACTCGGACCCCAGATACCGACACTGCTGCCCCCCTCTCCCCCACCCCCAACCAGGCTGCAGCGCTTCCTGGCGGACTTCCGCGACCTCACCAGCTGGGTGACGGAGATGAAGGCTCTGATCGGCGCCGACGAGCTGGCCAACGAGGTGGCAGGAGCCGAGGCCCTGCTGGACCGCCACCAGGAGCACAAGGTGCCGCCCCCCTCGGCGTCGCGGTGCCGCCCCCTAGGGGTCGCGAGGTCACGGTGCCGCCCCCTAGGGGTCGTGGGGTCGCGGTGCCGCCCCCTAGGGGTCACGGTGCCGCCCCCTCGGGGTCGCGGGGTCACGGTGCCGCCCCCTCGGGGTCGCGGGGTCGCGGTGCCGCCCCCCTAGGGGTCGCGATGCCGCTCTCTCGGGGTCGCGGTGCCGCCCCCCTTGGCGGTGTTTCCCACTTCGTTCAGAATCGGCGTCACGCGTTCAGAGCATTTGGCAGCTGCTATAAAGTTCCACAACACGGTGACGAGCCACTTCCTTGAGCTTTCATTTGTGTTAGCCAGGCCGCTTCTGAAAGAGAGTTGTACAGCTCGGCGGGGCCTTGCCTGGTAGCGGGGAGCGCGTGAGCACAACGGTCAGCACGCCACGCTACAAATCACGACGATTATCTGACCCCGGTCCTGGGCGCTCCCCCTAGGTCGACTCAGCCTTCAAAATGAGTTCCTGGTGCGGTGTGGAGTCAAACATCGCCACTGGGGAGACAAAGGCGGCCGCCTACTCGCCCCCCTCCCCCCCCCGTGCACCATAGGCGCTGCTCGCTAACAGCACTTGCCCCAAAATTAAGTCGAGGGCTATGTGGGGGACCTTTGTCTCGTGTGGGGAGTGGTGACCATAGCCACTGGGGAGACAAAGGCGGCCGGGCGTGGTGCTGGCCACCGGGACCCCCCTTGTGCTCACGGCGATCTGATCGTTCCACGTGCACTCTGCACAGCGAGACGTTGACCCTGCAGCTTAGCGGCCTGGAACTCACCTTACCCACCCACCCCCCTCGCCCTTCTCACCCTCACACCCAAACCCCACTCGCCTCCTCCGCCCCGGTGACCCGCACACCCGCCGCGCGCGTTGCCGTACATTGCACCTCCGGTTAATCGGCACGGTTGGCGACGCACGGTGCGAAAACACGGGGTGGGGGGGGGCGGGTTTCAACGTTCTGGCACGCGCGGCACGGCCGGCTACGGAGCTCCGAGTGCTCGCACCCGCCCCTTGGCGGCGCTCTCGCCGGAGGCTACACGGGGGACCTTTGACCGTGTGCACAGGGGGAGATCGACGCCCACGAGGACAGCTTCAAGTCTGCCGACGCGGCCGGGGAGGCCCTGGTGCACGCGAACCACTACGCCTCGGAGGAGGTGCGCGAGAAGGTGAGGCCACCGCCGCTGCTGCTGCCGCCACCGCCTACACCGCCACCACCACCTACACCGCCACCACCTGCACCAGCACCACCGCCTACACCGCCTACACCTACACCGCCACCACCTGCACCAGCACCACCGCCTACACCGCCTACACCTACACCGCCACCACCTGCACCAGCACCACCGCCTACACCTCCTACACCTGCACCGCCACTACCGCCTGCGTCACAAAGCCACCGCGACCATAACCACCTACACCATAACCGCCTACACCATAACCACCTACACCACCGCCTACACCATAACCGCCTACACCATAACCACCTACACCACCGCCTACACCATAACCACCTACACCACCACCACCTACACAATAACCACCTATACCATAACCGCCTACACCGTAACCACCTACACCATAACCACCTACACCACCACCACCTACACCATAACCACCTACACCATAACCACCTACACCATAACCACCTACACAATAACCACCTATACCATAACCGCCTACACCACCACCACCTACACCATAACCGCCTACACCATAACCGCCTACACCATAACCACCTACACCATAACCACCTACACCATAACCGCCTACACCATAACCGCCTACACCATAACCGCCTACACCATAACCGCCTACACCACAACCACCTACACCATAACCGCCTACACCACCACCACCTACACCACCACCACCACCTACACCACCACCACCTACACCACCACCACCTACACCGTAACCACCTACACCGTAACCGCCTACACCATAACCACTTACACCACCACCACCTACACCACCACCACCTACACCGTAACCACCTACACCGTAACCACCTACACCATAACCACCTACATCGTAACCACCTACACCACCACCACCTACACCACCACCACCTACACCACCACCACCCGGCCGGGTACGGGTAGCCGCACGTGACTCACCCCGAGCAATGAGTGAGAAGGCCGTGAGTCACTGGTGAGTAACTGTTTGTCACTCATTTCCCAACGTCTTGTCTCTTCTCACAATTCAAGTTCCTAGAATCAACCCACCCGCACCTGCATCATGGCTTCATCCCAGAGGTCGCAATCAGGTACCCGATACCTGTACCCGGCCGGGTAGGGTACGGGTACGGCCGGGTACGGGTACGGGTACCCGTTTGCGACCCTGGTGCAGCCGGGTACGGGTAGGCCGTGAGTCACTGGTGAGTAACCGTTTGTCACTCATTTCCCAAAGTCTTGTCTCTTCTCATAATTCAAGTTCCTAGAATCAACCCACCCGCGCCTGCAACATGGCTTCACCCCAGAGGTCGCAATCGGGTACCGGATACCCGTACCCTACCCGATACCCGGCTACCCGTACCCGGCCGGGTATCGGGTAGGGTACGGGTACCCGTTTGCGACCCTGGTGCGGCCGGGTACGGGTAAGGAATCAAAACCCGTTTGCGACCTCTGACCCACTCCCACACGGCCTCCACACGGTCTCCACACGACCCCTCACCCCAACGGGGGGGTGACCTTTGCCCCCTGCAGTTGACGGTGCTGGCGGAGGAGCGCACGGCGCTGCTGGAGCTGTGGGAGGCGCGGCGCCAGCTGTACGAGCAGTGCATGGACCTGCAGCTCTTCTACCGCGACACGGAGCAGGTGGACAACTGGATGAGCAAGCAGGAGGTTGGTCCGCTTCCACCACCCCGCCCCCCACACACCACCCCACCACCACCGCGCTCACCCCACACACCACCACCACCCCGCCCCCCACACACCACCCAACCACCACTGCGCTCACCCCACCACCATCACCACCGCGCTCACCCCCACTACCACCATCACCACCGCGCTCACCCCCACCACCACCACCGCGCTCTACCCACCATCACCGCGCTCTACCCACCACCACTATCACCACGCTCTCCCCACCACCACCATCACCACCGCCCTCACCCCCACCACCACCACGCTCTCCCCACCACCATCACGCTCACCCCACCACCACCACCACCACCACCGCGCTCTACCCACCACCATTGCGCTCTCCCCACCACCACGGCCACGGCCACCGCGCTCTCCCCACCACCGCCGCGCACTCCGCTGCACTACCATACACACCACGCTAGACCCACCGCACCCACCGCACTACGCTGCACTACCATACACACCACGCTAGACCCACCGCACCCACCGCACCGGCAACACCACATCAGAGGTCGCGCCGCTGCTAGCCCCGCAACCGATGGCGGGGCTGTCGGAGATGGCGCGGACGAGTTTCCGACGCGCGTCTCTCTCTCTCTGTCCCTCCGCCCCACCCCACCCACCGTCCCCCCGTGCCCCCCCTCCCCCCCCACGTGCATGCCCCAGGCGTTCCTGCTGAACGAGGACCGCGGGGACTCGCTGGACAGCGTCGAGGCCCTGCTCAAGAAGCACGAGGACTTTGAGAAGTCGCTGAGCGCCCAGGAGGAGAAGATCACGGTGAGGCGGCGGCGGCGGCACGCGGCACGCGGCAGGGGCAGCCGCCGTGGGGCAGCCGCCTTGGGGCAGCTACCCTGGGGTCACCACCCTGGGGCAGCTACCCTGGGGCAGCTACCCTGGGGGCAGCTACCCTGGGGTCACCACCCTGGGGTCACCACCCTGGGGTCACCACCCTGGGGTCACCACCCTGGGGTCACCACCCTGGGGCAGCTGCCTTGGGGCAGCTACCTTGGGGCAGCTACCCTGGGGGCAGCTACCCTGGGGCAGCGACCACGGGGTTGCCCCAGGGTGATGATGATTGTGGTGATGACGGCGACGGTGCTGGGTGAAGGCGACGCTGGTGTTGATACCTCACTGCTGCTGCTGCCGATGATGCTGCTGATGATGTTGCTGCCGATGTTGCTGCCGATGTTGCTGCTGCTGCCACTGCTGTTGATGATGCTGCTGCCGATGATGCTGTTGCTGCTGATGATGCTGATGCTGCTGATGATGCTGCTGCTGCCAATGTTGCTGCTGATGATGCTGCTGCCACTGCTGCTAATGATGCTGTTGATGCTGCTGCTGCCACTGCTGATGATGCTGCTGGTGATGATGATGCTGCTGATGCCGCTGCTGATGATGCTGCTGGTGATGATGATGCTGCTGCTGCTGATGATGCTGCTGTTGCCACTGCTGATGATGTTGCTGCTGATTATGCTGCTGCTGATGATGCTGCTGCTCCTGCCGCTGCTGCTGATGATGCTGCTGCTCCTGCCGCTGCTGATGATGATGCTGCTGATGCTTCTGCTCCTGCCGCTGCTGATGACGATGCTGCTGCTGATGATGCTGCTGCTCCTGCCGCTGCTGATGATGATGCTGCTGCTGATGCTGCTGCTGCTCCTGCCACTGCTGATGATGATGCTGCTGCCACTGCTGATGATGCTGCTGATGATGCTGTTACTGCCGCTGCTGATGATGCCACTGCTGATGATGCCGCTGCTGATGATGCTGCTGCCGCCACTGATGATGCTACCACCCCCGTCGCTGCTGCTGACGATGCCGACGATGCCGACGCTGACGCTGTTGTCTCGCCGCCAACCGCAGGCGCTGGAGGAGTTTGCGACGAAGCTGATCCAGGCGGGGCACTACGCCCGCGATGACGTGGCGGCACGCAGGGACGCGGTGAGTCTCCCTGTCGCGCCGGACGATCGTCACGTGGGCACGTGATCCGGAGTGCTGCTGCTGCTGTCAGTTTTTTAATGGGGTGCTGTGCTGGCAAGATGTTAACTACCTCGCCGGGTGTGCAGGAGGTCGTGGGTTCGATCCCAGCCCTGATGACACCTGCTGTATATTTCGAGTTTGTGTGTCTCTGTCATCATCATGGTGGCGAGGAGATGTTTACTACCTCGCCGGGTGTGCAGGAGGTCTTGGGTTCGATCCCAGCCCTGATGACACCTGCCGTATATTTCGAGTTTGTGTGTCTCTATCATCATCATGGTGGCGAGGAGATGTTTACTACCTCGCAGGGTGTGCAGGAGGTCTTGGGTTCGATCCCAGCCCTGATGACACCTGCCGTATATTTCGAGTTTGTGTGTCTCTGTCATCATCATGGTGGCGAGGAGATGTTTACTACCTCGCCGGGTGTGCAGGAGGTCTTGGGTTCGATCCCAGCCCTGATGACACCTGCTGTATATTTCGAGTTTGTGTGTCTCTGTCATCATCATGGTGGCGAGGAGATGTTTACTACCTCGCCGGGTGTGCAGGAGGTCGTGGGTTCGATCCCAGCCCTGATGACACCTGCTGTATATTTCGAGTTTGTGTGTCTCTGTCATCATCATGGTGGCGAGGAGATGTTTACTACCTCGCCGGGTGTGCAGGAGGTCTTGGGTTCGATCCCAGCCCTGATGACACCTGCTGTATATTTCGAGTTTGTGTGTCTCTGTCATCATCATGGTGGCGAGGAGATGTTTACTACCTCGCCGGGTGTGCAGGAGGTCGTGGGTTCGATCCCAGCCCTGATGACACCTGCTGTATATTTCGAGTTTGTGTGTCTCTGTCATCTTCATGGTGGCGAGGAGATGTTTACTACCTCGCCGGGTGTGCAGGAAGCCGTGGGTTCGATCCCGGACCCTGACGACGCCTGCTGTATATTTCGAGTTTGTGTGTCTCTGTCATCATCATCATGGTGGTTAGGAGATGTTAACTACCTCGCCGGGTGTGCATGAAGTCGTGGGTTCAATCCCAGCCCTGTTGACACTTGCTGTATATTTCGAGTCTGTGTGTCTCTATCATCATCATGGTGGTTAGGAGATGTTAACTACCTCACCTGGTATACAGGAAGTCGTGGGTTCGATCCCAGCCCTGATGACGCCTGCTGTATATTTCGAGTTTGTGTGTCTGTCATCATTATGGTGGTTAGGAGATGTTTACTACCTCACCTGTTATACAGGAGGTGGTGGGTTCGATCCCAGCCCTGATGACGCTTGCTGTATATTTCGAGTCTGTGTGTCTCTATCATCCTCATGGTGGTTAGGAGATGTTAACTACCTCACCTGGTATACAGGAGGTCGTGGGTTCGATTCCAACCCTCACGACGCCTGCTGTATATTTCGAGTTTGTGTGTCTCTGTCATCATCATCATGGTGGTTAGGAGATGTTTACTACCTCGCCGGGTATACAGGAAGTCATGGGTTCGATCCCAGCCCTGGTGACGCTTGCTTCTGTACATTTGGAGTGTGCATCTCTCTCTCTCTGTCCGTGGTCTCGTGGATTTTCCTCTGGGTCCCTCTCACATTTAGAATCGACGTCGCGCGTTTCGAGTATTTGGCTGCTGCCCGAAATCTCCACGAGATGACGATGAGCCACCACGTTGGGCGATCATTCGCGGTGGCCAGTTGAGCTTCTTAAAGAGAGCTACGTAGCTCAGTGGGCCTAGCGCAGAGGTCGCAACCGGGTACCCGATACCCGTACCCTACCCGATACACGGCTACCCGTACCCGGCCGGGTACGGGTACCCATTTGCGACCCTGGTGCGGCCGGGTACGGGTAGGCCGTGAGTCACTGGTGAGTCACCGTTTGTCACTCATTTCCCAACGTCTTGTCTCTTCTCACAATTCAAGTTCTTAGAATCAACCCACCCGCGCCTGCAACATGGCTTCATCCCAGAGGTCGCAATCGGATACCCGTACCCTACTCGTACCCAGCCGGGTATCGGGTAGGGGTACGGGTAGGGTACCCGTTTGCGACCCTGGTGTGGCCGGGTACGGGTAAGGAATCAAAACCCGTTTGCGACCTCTGGCCGAGCGTTGTAGTTTTAGAAGTGTTGGTTCACGACGGTGGCAAGCGACGGCAGACCTCTCATTCCGAATAATGTCACGGGGATCTGTGTGATGGCGCGGAGTAGTAGTATTATTACTTCTATACTACTACTACGGTGAACAAGCGCCGCCACCGCAGTATTAACCAGGGCGGCTTGCCCGATTCGAACCGTGAACCCTCTGCGACAACGAGCGGCGAACGTGTGTCGCCCATGGGCAACGGTCACCGGCCCAAAGTGCGCGAGGATCGATGAATGAATTGCATCTTCTTGGTTCTTTCGGTAAAGTCACGTGACTTTACCGAAAGAACCAAAAAGATGAATCCCTGCAGTCACGGAAGCTTCAAGTCGAAAGAGTGGATTTTAATCGTGCTGCGTGTGTGCTGCGTGTGTGTGTGTGCTGCGTGTGTGCTGCGTGTGTGCTGCGTGTGTGTGTTCTGTGTGTGTGCTGCGTGTGTGTGTGCTGTGTGTGTACTGCGTGCGTGTGTGTGCTGCTTGTGTGCTTGCTGCGTGCGTGTGTGTGCTGTGTGTGCTGCGTGTGTGTGGATGTGCTGTTTGCCACGTGTGTGTGCATGCTGCGTGCTTGTGCTACATGCTGCGTGTGTGTGCTGCGTGTGTGCTGCGTGTGTGCTGCGGGTGTGCTGCGGGTGTGCTGCGCATGTGTGTGTGCTGCGTGTGTGTGTGTGCTGCGTGTGTGTGTGTGCTGCGCGTGCGTGCTGCGTGTGTGTGCCGCGTGCATGTGGATGTGCTGCGTGCCGCGTGTGTGTGTGTGCGTGTGTGTGCGTGCGTGCTGCGTGCATGTGTGTGCATGCTGCGTGCGCATGTGCCGTGTGTGCGTGCCGTGTGTGTGTGCCGCGCGTGTGTGGCGCCCATGGCAGCTGGTGGCGAGGCGTAACGCGCTGCACGAGCGTGCGCTGGCGCGCCGCGCCGCCCTGGAGGACTCGTACCGCCTGCAGCAGTTCTGTCGCGACGCCGACGAGCTCAAGAGCTGGGTCAACGAGAAGATGAAGACGGCCACCGACGAGTCCTACAAGGTGGGCGGACCCCTCACCTCCCATCCTCTCTCTCTCCCTCACCTCCCATCTTCTCATCCTCACCTCCCTCTCTCACCTCCTATCCTCTCTCCCTCACCTCCCTCACCTCCCTCGCCTCCCTCCCTCACCTCCCTCGCCTCCCTCCCTCACCTCCCTCCTTAACCTCCATCCCTCCCTCCCTCCCTCACCTCCCTCACCTCCCTCGCCTCCCTCCCTCACCTCCCTCCCTCACCTCCCTCACCTCCCTACCTCCCTCCCTCACCTCCCTCACCTCCCTCCCTCCACTCCCTCCCTCAACTCTCGCTCCCTTAACCCTCCCTCCCATCTTCTTCTCCTCCTCGTCCACCCTCCTCCTCCAACTTCCACCCTCTTCCCACCCCACCTCTTCCCCCACCCTCCGCCCCCCCACCCCCGTCTATCCCCTTCTCTCCTCCTCTTTCCCTCCCGATGCTCCTTCTCATCATCATCATCATCATCGTCGTCATCGTCCTCCTGCTCGCGCGTGACGCCCCATCGCGTCACCGTGCGAGCCGCACCGTCTTGTCGCCCAGCGTCACCGCCCGCCCCTCCCTTCTGCTCCCCCTCCCCCCCCCCCCCCCCCAGGACCCCACGAACCTGCAGGGCAAGGTGCAGAAGCACCAGGCGTTTGAGGCGGAGCTCTCGGCCAACCAGAGCCGGCTGGAGGCGCTGCAGCAGGGCGGGCAGGAGCTGGTGGAGGGGCGGCACTACGCGGCGGACGACGTGGCCGAGCGAATGCGCGAGGTGCAGGAGCTATGGGCCCGGCTGCAGGACGCCTCCGAGCTCAAAGGTGGCAGCGCCAACAACAACAACAACAACGCCGTCGTCGTCGTCACCGCCAAACGCCATCGTCATCGGCAGTGACGACTCCATCGTCGTCATCGGCAGTGCCATTGCCATCATCGTCACCGGCAGTGCCAACGCCATCCCTGTCACCACCAACTCCATCATCGTCACCGGCAGTGCCAACGCCATCGTCGTCATCGGCAGTGCCAACTTCATCATCGTCACCACCAACTCCATCAGCGTCACCACCAACTCCATCACCGTCATCGCCAACTCCACCATTGTCACCACCAATGCCATCATCATCATCGCCAGTGCCAACTCCACCATCGTCGTCACCACCAATGCCGTCATCATCACCACCAACTCCATCAGCGTCACCACCAACTCCATCACCGGCATTTCCAACTCCACCATTGTCACCACCAATGCCATCATCATCATCGCCAGTGCCAACTCCACCATCGTCGTCACCACCAATGCCGTCATCATCACCACCAACTCCATCAGCGTCACCACCAACTCCATCACCGTCATCGCCAACTCCACCATTGTCACCACCAATGCCATCATCATCATCGCCAGTGCCAACTCCACCATCGTCGTCACCACCAATGCCGTCATCATCACCACCAACTCCATCAGCGTCACCACCAACTCCATCACCGTCATCGCCAACTCCACCATTGTCACCACCAATGCCATCATCATCATCGCCAGTGCCAACTCCACCATCGTCGTCACCACCAATGCCGTCATCATCACCACCAACTCCATCAGCGTCACCACCAACTCCATCACCGTCATCGCCAACTCCACCATTGTCACCACCAATGCCATCATCATCATCGCCAGTGCCAACTCCACCATCGTCGTCACCACCAATGCCGTCATCATCACCACCAACTCCATCACCGTCACCACCAACTCCATCACCGTCATCGCCAACTCCACCATTGTCACCACCAATGCCATCATCATCATCGCCAGTGCCAACTCCACCATCGTCGTCACCACCAATGCCGTCATCATCACCACCAACTCCATCAGCGTCACCACCAACTCCATCACCGTCATCGCCAACTCCACCATTGTCACCACCAATGCCATCATCATCATCGCCAGTGCCAACTCCACCATCGTCGTCACCACCAATGCCGTCATCATCACCACCAACTCCATCAGCGTCACCACCAACTCCCATCACCGGCATTTCCAACTCCACCATTGTCACCACCAATGCCATCATCATCATCGCCAGTGCCAACTCCACCATCGTCGTCACCACCAATGCCGTCATCATCACCACCAACTCCATCAGCGTCACCACCAACTCCATCACCGTCATCGCCAACTCCACCATTGTCACCACCAATGCCATCATCATCATCGCCAGTGCCAACTCCACCATCGTCGTCACCACCAATGCCGTCATCATCACCACCAACTCCATCAGCGTCACCACCAACTCCATCACCGGCATTGCCAACTCCACCATTGTCACCACCAATGCCATCATCATCATCGCCAGTGCCAACTCCACCATCGTCGTGACCACCAATGCCGTCATCATCACCACCAACTCCATCACCGTCATCACCAACTCCATCACCGGCATTTCCAACTCCACCATTGTCACCACCAATGCCATCATCATCATCGCCAGTGCCAACTCCACCATCGTCGTGACCACCAATGCCGTCATCATCACCACCAACTCCATCAGCGTCATCACCAACTCCATCACCGGCATTGCCAACTCCACCATTGTCACCACCAATGCCATCATCATCATCGCCAGTGCCAACTCCACCATCGTCGTCACCACCAATGCCGTCATCATCACCACCAACTCCATCACCGTCATCACCAACTCCATCACCGGCATTTCCAACTCCACCATTGTCACCACCAATGCCATCATCATCATCGCCAGTGCCAACTCCACCATCGTCGTGACCACCAATGCCGTCATCATCACCACCAACTCCATCAGCGTCATCACCAACTCCATCACCGGCATTGCCAACTCCACCATTGTCACCACCAATGCCATCATCATCATCGCCAGTGCCAACTCCACCATCGTCGTCACCACCAATGCCGTCATCATCACCACCAACTCCATCAGCGTCATCACCAACTCCATCACCGGCATTTCCAACTCCACCATTGTCACCACCAATGCCATCATCATCATCGCCAGTGCCAACTCCACCATCGTCGTCACCACCAATGCCGTCATCATCACCACCAACTCCATCAGCGTCACCACCAACTCCATCACCGTCATCGCCAACTCCACCATTGTCACCACCAATGCCATCATCATCATCGCCAGTGCCAACTCCACCATCGTCGTCACCACCAATGCCGTCATCATCACCACCAACTCCATCAGCGTCACCACCAACTCCATCACCGGCATTTCCAACTCCACCATTGTCACCACCAATGCCATCATCATCATCGCCAGTGCCAACGCCATCGTCGTGACCACCAATGCCGTCATCGTCACCACCAACTCCATCAGCGTCACCACCAACTCCATCACCGTCATCGCCAACTCCACCATTGTCACCACCAATGCCATCATCATCATCGCCAGTGCCAACTCCACCATCGTCGTCACCACCAATGCCGTCATCATCACCACCAACTCCATCACCGTCATCACCAACTCCATCACCGGCATTTCCAACTCCACCATTGTCACCACCAATGCCATCATCATCATCGCCAGTGCCAACTCCACCATCGTCGTGACCACCAATGCCGTCATCATCACCACCAACTCCATCAGCGTCATCACCAACTCCATCACCGGCATTGCCAACTCCACCATTGTCACCACCAATGCCATCATCATCATCGCCAGTGCCAACTCCACCATCGTCGTCACCACCAATGCCGTCATCATCACCACCAACTCCATCAGCGTCATCACCAACTCCATCACCGGCATTTCCAACTCCACCATTGTCACCACCAATGCCATCATCATCATCGCCAGTGCCAACTCCACCATCGTCGTCACCACCAATGCCGTCATCATCACCACCAACTCCATCACCGTCATCACCAACTCCATCACCGGCATTTCCAACTCCACCATTGTCACCACCAATGCCATCATCATCATCGCCAGTGCCAACTCCACCATCGTCGTCACCACCAATGCCGTCATCATCACCACCAACTCCATCAGCGTCACCACCAACTCCATCACCGGCATTTCCAACTCCACCATTGTCACCACCAATGCCATCATCATCATCGCCAGTGCCAACTCCACCATCGTCGTCACCACCAATGCCGTCATCATCACCACCAGTGCCAACGCCATCGTCGTGACCACCAATGCCATCATCATCACCACCAGTGCCAACGCCATCGTCGTGACCACCAATGCCATCATCATCACCACCAGTGCCAACTCCATCATCGTCACCACCAACTCCATCAACGTCACCACCAATCCCAACTCCACCATCGTCGTGACCACCAATGCCATCATCATCACCACCAGTGCCAACTCCATCATCGTCACCACCAACTCCATCAACGTCACCACCAATCCCAACTCCACCATCGTCGTGACCACCAATGCCATCATCATCACCACCAGTGCCAACTCCATCATCGTCACCACCAACTCCATCAACGTCACCACCAATCCCAACTCCACCATCGTCACCACCACCAACTCCACCATCGTCGTGACCACCAATCCCAACTCCACCATCGTCGTGACCACCAATGCCGTCATCGTCACCACCAGTGCCAACGCCATGGTCGTTGTTTCTTCCCCTGTGCGCGCCGCGCGGCGTAGGCGTGAAACTTCGCGAAGCAAACCAGCAACAGCAGTTCAACCGCAACGTGGAGGACATCGAGCTGTGGCTGTACGAGGTGGAGGGCCACCTGGCCTCCGAGGACCTCGGCAAGGACCTGACGAGTGTGCACAACCTGCAGCGCAAGCACGCGCTGCTGGAGGCCGACGTGGCGGCGCACCAGGTGCGTCGCTGGCGCACGATGGCGCGCGCGCCCCACCGTCGATCGGTCGTCGTTTCAATCGCTCGCCCACCGCCTCAGCCACTCGCTCACTCGTTTGTTCGTTCACTCGCCCAGTCACTCGCCCACTCACTCGCCCAATCAATCGCCCACTCGCTCGTCCACTCGCTCACAAACTCGCCCACTCGCGCGCCCACTCTTTCGTCTAATCACACTCATTCATTTACACACTCATTCATTTACACACTCATTCACTTGCCCACTCATTCACTCAATCGCCCGCCCACTCGCCTACTCACTCATTCGCCCACAAACTTTATCACTCACTCGCACTTATTCACTCACCCACTCATCGCCCACTCGCGCTCATTCACTCACCCACTCATTCAGTCACCCAATCAATCACTCGCCCACCCACTCTCTCGCGCACCCACTTGCTCGTGCACCCACTTGCTCGTGCACCCACTTGCTCGCGCACCCACTTGCTCGCGCACCCACTTGCTCGTGCACCCACTTGCTCGTGCACCCACTTGCTCGTGCACCCACTTGCTCGCGCACCCACTTGCTCGTGCACCCACTTGCTCGCGCACCCACTTGCTCGCGCACCCACTTGCTCGCGCACCCACTTGCTCGCGCACCCACTTGCTCGCGCACCCACTTGCTCGCGCACCCACTTGCTCGCGCACCCAACTTGCTCGGCACCCACTTGCTCGTGCACCCACTTGCTCGCGCACCCACTTGCTCGTGCACCCACTTGCTCGTGCACCCACTTGCTCGCGCACCCACTTGCTCGCGCACCCACTTGCTCGTGCACCCACTTGCTCGTGCACCCACTTGCTCGCGCACCCACTTGCTCGTGCACCCACTTGCTCGTGCACCCACTTGCTCGTGCACCCACTTGCTCGTGCACCCACTTGCTCGTGCACCCACTTGCTCGCGCACCCACTTGCTCGCGCACCCACTTGCTCCGTGCACCCACTTGCTCGCGCACCCACTTGCTCGTGCACCCACTGCTCGTGCAACCCACTTGCTCGCGCACCCACTTGCTCGCGCACACCACTTGCTCGTGCACCCACTTGCTCGTGCACCCACTTGCTCGCGCACCCACTTGCTCGTGCACCCACTTGCTCGTGCACCCACTTGCTCGCGCACCCACTTGCTCGTGCACCCACTTGCTCACTTCATCGCCCACTCATTCATCCACTCACACTTATTCACTCGCCCACTCGCCCACTCATTCACTCACACACTCATTCGCTCTCACACTTATTCACTCTCACACTCATTCACTCCCACACTTATTCACTCACCCACTTACTCGCCCACTCACTCGCCCACTCGCACGCCCACTCACTTGCCCACTCGCACTCATTCACTCACCCACTCATTCACTCATTCACTCTCACACTTATTCACTCACTCCCCCACTTACTCGCCCACTCACACGCCCACTCATTCGCTCTCGCACCCACTCCACTCGCCCATTCACCCGCCCACCCACTCACTCACCCACTCAACCACTCATTCACTCACCCAACCACTCACTCACTCGCGCGATTAAGACTCCCCCGTCCTTGCAGTCGCTCGACTATTTCTCGCCTGCCTTGAAACCAAAACCAAACTCGAACCTTGAACTCTCGCCCTGCCCACCCGCCCGCCCACCCCGCCCTTTGCCAGGACCGTATCGACGGAGTGAGCATCCAGGCGAAGCAGTTCCAGGAGGCGGGTCACTTTGACGCGGACGCCATCCGCACCAAGCAGGAGGACCTGGTGGGTCGCTACGAGGCCTTGCGCGAGCCCATGGCCGCTCGCAAGCAGAAGTTGGCCGACTCGCTGCGTCTGCAGCAGCTGTTCCGTGACACGGAGGACGAGGAGACCTGGATCCGCGAGAAGGAGCCCGTGGCCGCCTCTACCAACCGAGGTGAGTTGGGGGGGAGAGTGTGTGGGTTCTACCAAGTGTGGTGAGGTCATGGGGGGGTTGGAGTGAGTGGGTTCTACCAACTGTGGTGAGGTCATGGGGGGGGAGTGAGTGGGTTCTACCAACTGTGGTGAGGTCATGGGGGGGTTGGAGTGTGGGTTCTACCACCGCTCCTGAATGCTGCTGCTGCTGCTGTGCTCGCTCGTGGCTGCAGGCAAGGACCTGATCGGCGTGCAGAACCTGCTCAAGAAGCACCAGGCGCTGCAGGCGGAGATCGCGGGCCACGAGCCACGCATCCGCGCCGTCGAGCAGAAGGGGGGCGCCATGGTGGACGAGGGTAAGGCGCTCACCCGCGGCACCGACAACGGTCACTTTCACCGCGCCCGGCGCGACGCCGTGACCGACACGGCGCCGCCACCGTAACACGACACCACCACACCCGCCACAATCCTACCGCACACCGGCGTGACGCCGTGACCAACGCAGCACCGCCACCGTACCACTACACCACCGCCACACCCGCCACAATCCGCCACCACCACCGTACCACTACACCACCGCCACACCCGCCACAATCCGCCACCACCACCGTACCACTACACCACCGCCACACCCGCCACAATCCGCCACCACCACCGTACCACTACACCACCGCCACACCCGCCACAATCCGCCACCACCACCGTACCACTGCACCACCGCCGCACCCGCCACAATCCTACCGCGCACCGACCTCATGCCGTGACCGACGCGGCACCACCACCACCACCGTACTACCACTACACCACCGCCACACCCGCCACAATCCTACCGCGCACCGACCTCATGCCGTGACCGACGCGGCACCACCACCACCACCGTACTACCACTACACCACCGCCGCACCCGCCACAATCCTACCGCGCACCGACCTCATGCCGTGACCGACGCGGCACCACCACCACCACCGTACTACCACTACACCACCGCCGCACCCGCCACAATCCTACCGCGCACCGACCTCATGCCGTGACCGACGCGGCACTACCACCACCACCGTACTACCACTACACCACCGCCACACCCGCCACAATCCTACCGCACACCGGCGTGACGCCGTCACCAACACGGCACCGCCACCGTACTACCGCTGCACCGCCGCCGCACCCGCCACAATCCTACCGCGCCCGCCGTCCGCCCAGGCCACTTTGCCAAGGAGGAGATTGCGGGCAAGCTGGCGCAGCTGGGCGACCGCTGGGACGGCCTCAAGGCGAAGGCGGCGCAGCGCCGGCAGGACCTGGAGGACTCGCTGCAGGCCCAGCAGTACTTTGCCGACGCCAACGCGGCCGAGAGCTGGATGCGCGAGAAGGAGCCCATCGTGGGCAGCGGCGACTACGGCAAGGATGAGGACTCCGCCGAGGTGTTGCCACAGCCCTCACCACCTCGCTCACCACGCTCACCTCGCTCACCACCTCACTCGTCACGCTCGCTCACTCACCACTACGGCAAGGATGAGGACTCCGCCGAGGTGTTGCCACAGCCCTCACCAGCTCGCTCACCACGCTCACCACCTCGCTCACCTCGCTCACTCACCACCTCGCTCGCTCGCTCACCACTACGGCAAGGATGAGGACTCCGCCGAGGTGTTGCCACAGCCCTCACCACCTCGCTCACCACGCTCGCTCGCTCACCACCTCACTCGTCACGCTCGCTCACTACGCTCGGTCGCTCACCACGCTCACCTCGCTCACCACGCTCACCTCACTCGCTCACCACCTCACTCGTCACGCTCGCTCACTCACCACTATGGCAAGGATGAGGACTCCGCCGAGGTGTTGCCACAGCCCTCACCACCTCGCTCACCACGCTCGCTCGCTCACCACGCTCACCTCGCTCACCACGCTCACCTCACTCGCTCACCACCTCACTCGTCACGCTCGCTCACCACGCTCGGTCGCTCACCACGCTCACCTCGCTCACCACGCTCACCTCGCTCACCACGCTCACCTCACTCGCTCACCACCTCACTCGTCACGCTCGCTCACCACGCTCGGTCGCTCACCACGCTCACCTCGCTCACCACGCTCACCTCACTCGCTCACCACCTCACTCGTCACGCTCGCTCACCACGCTCGGTCGCTCACCACGCTCACCTCGCTCACCACGCTCACCTCACTCGCTCACCACCTCACTCGTCACGCTCGCTCACTCACCACTATGGCAAGGATGAGGACTCCGCCGAGGTGTTGCCACAGCCCTCACCACCTCGCTCACCACGCTCGCTCGCTCACCACGCTCACCTCGCTCACCACGCTCACCTCACTCGCTCACCACCTCACTCGTCACGCTCGCTCACCACGCTCGGTCGCTCACCACGCTCACCTCGCTCACCACGCTCACCTCGCTCACCACGCTCACCTCACTCGCTCACCACCTCACTCGTCACGCTCGCTCACCACGCTCGGTCGCTCACCACGCTCACCTCGCTCACCACGCTCACCTCACTCGCTCACCACCTCACTCGTCACGCTCGCTCACCACGCTCGGTCGCTCACCACGCTCACCTCGCTCACCACGCTCACCTCACTCGCTCACCACCTCACTCGTCACGCTCGCTCACTCACCACTATGGCAAGGATGAGGACTCCGCCGAGGTGTTGCCACAGCCCTCACCACCTCGCTCGCCACGCTCGGTCACCACCTCGCTCACCACGCTCGCTCACTCACCACGCTCACCTCGGTCACTCACCACCTCGCTTACCTCGCTCACTCACCACCTCGCTCGCTCACCACTACGGCAAGGATGAGGACTTCGCCGAGGTGGGGGCCACGTGCTGCTGTCGCAGCCCCCGCGTCGCCACACTCGCTCACTCGCCTCGCTCGCTCACCATCTCACTCGCCACGCTCGCTCACCACCTCGCTCGCCACGCTTGCTCACTGTATGATGAGGCAATGGGTCTCTGTGTGATGAGTCTGTGGGTCTCTGTGTGATGAGTCTGTGGGTCTCTGTGTGATGAGTCTGTGGGTCTCTGTGTGATGAGTCTGTGGGTCTCTGTGTGATGAGTCTGTGGGTCTCTGTGTGAAGAGTCTGTGGGTCTCTGTGTGGTGAGTCTGTGGGTCTCTGTGTGGTGAGTCTGTGTGGTGATTCTGTGGGTCTCTGTGTGGTGAGTCTGTGGGTCTCTGTGTGGTGAGTCTGTGGGTCTCTGTGTGATGAGTCTGTGGGTCTCTGTGTGATGAGTCTGTGGGTCTCTGTGTGGTGAGTCTATGGCTCTGTGTGGTGAGTCTGTGGGTCTCTGTGTGATGAGTCTGTGGGTCTCTGTGTGATGAGTCTGTGTGTCTCTGTGTGATGAGTCTGTGTGTCTCTGTGTGGTGAGTCTGTGGGTCTCTGTGTGGTGAGTCTGTGTGTCTCTGTGTGGTGAGTCTGTGGGTCTCTGTGTGGTGAGTCTGTGTGTCTCTGTGTGGTGAGTCTGTGGGTCTCTGTGTGATGAGTCTGTGGGTCTCTGTGTGATGAGTCTGTGGGTCTCTGTGTGATGAGTCTGTGGGTCTCTGTGTGATGAGTCTGTGGGTCTCTGTGTGAAGAGTCTGTGTGTCTCTGTGTGATGAGTCTGTGTGTCTCTGTGTGGTGAGTCTGTGGGTCTCTGTGTGGTGAGTCTGTGTGTCTCTGTGTGGTGAGTCTGTGGGTCTCTGTGTGGTGAGTCTGTGTGTCTCTGTGTGGTGAGTCTGTGGGTCTCTGTGTGATGAGTCTGTGGGTCTCTGTGTGATGAGTCTGTGGGTCTCTGTGTGATGAGTCTGTGGGTCTCTGTGTGATGAGTCTGTGGGTCTCTGTGTGAAGAGTCTGTGGGTCTCTGTGTGGTGAGTCTGTGTGTCTCTGTGTGGTGAGTCTGTGGGTCTCTGTGTGGTGAGTCTGTGTGGTGATTCTGTGGGTCTCTGTGTGGTGAGTCTGTGGGTCTCTGTGTGGTGAGTCTGTGGGTCTCTGTGTGATGAGTCTGTGGGTCTCTGTGTGGTGAGTCTATGGCTCTGTGTGGTGAGTCTATGGCTCTCTGTGTGGTGAGTCTGTGGGTCTCTGTGTGGTGAGTCTGTGGCTCTGTGTGGTGAGTCTATGGTTCTGTGTGGTGAGTCTATGGCTCTGTGTGGTGAGTCTATGGCTCTGTGTGGTGAGTCTATGGCTCTGTGTGGTGAGTCTGTGGGTCTCTGTGTGGTGAGTCTGTGGCTCTCTGTGTGGTGAGTCTATGGCTCTCTGTGTGGTGAGTCTATGGCTCTCTGTGTGGTGAGTCTATGGCTCTGTGTGGTGAGTCTATGGCTCTCTGTGTGGTGAGTCTATGGCTCTCTGTGTGGTGAGTCTATGGCTCTCTGTGTGGTGAGTCTATGGGTCTCTGTGTGAGGCTGTAGTCCACAGACCCACACAGTGAGCGCGACCCGCCCCACTCGTGGAGCCCACAGAACTGAGACTGCGACCTCGGCTCCACGCGGGTGGCATCGCGTGGGCCGCAGGGACCACACGAGCAACGCTGACCCCCCCCCGTGTGACCCCTGCCCCCCCCCCGTCTCCCTCGTGACCCCGCCGATGACCCCCCCCCACCTTCGCGTGACCCCAGGCCCTGCTGAAGAAGCACGAGGCGCTGATGTCGGACCTGGTGGCGTACGGCAGCACCATCCAGGCGCTGCGCGAGCAGGCGCAGGCGTGTCGCGTAAGCACCGCACCGCTCGCACCGCAGTCGCCACGCACCGAGACACGGCACGCAGTCGCCACGCACCGCACTCTCCACGCACCGCACAACCTCGCACCGCACTCGCCACCCACCGCAGTCGCCACGCGCCGAGACACGTCACGTACACACGCCGCACTTGCCCTCGCGGCCGGTTGCAGGCTACGTAGTGGGGAAGGGTCCCTTTGTCTCTGCCTGTGTGCGTGCACAGCGGGTAGCGCTACGCCGCGCTACGAACCCGGCGACCCGAGTTCGATTCCCGCTCACGGCCACCAACACCACCGGTGACGATTATCCCATCCGGTCCTGGGCCTCCTCCCCTAGGTCGACTCGGCCTCAAATGAGTACCCGGTGTAGCGATGTGTAGTAAACACCGGCACCGCGGAGACAAAGGCGGTCGGACGAGACGCTGCTCGCTAACAGCACTTGCCCCAAAAGTATGTCAAGGCTATGTGTGACGGGGGGGACCTTTGTCTTGTTACGGGGAGTAAACACCGGCACCGGGGAGACAAAGACGGCCGGGGGGGGTGGGGGTTGGCCGGCAACCACGCCCGGCAAGGCGCGCCGTGCCGGCCTTCGCGGCGCTTGCCCCGGCGGTCTGTCGGGGCGACGCGGCGGGGTCGGATGGGGGGTGGTGGTTGTTGACCGTCGCCTTCGTGTTGGGGCGCAGCAACAAGTGGCACCGCTGGACGACGGCACGGGCAAGGAGCTGGTGCTGGTGCTGTACGACTACCAGGAGAAGAGCCCGCGGGAGGTCACCATGAAGAAGGGCGACGTGCTCACCCTGCTCAACAGCACCAACAAGGCACGGCGCACCGCGCACCGCGCACACGGCACACCGCACACGGCACCGCACCGCGCCGCTGCATCAGGGCACCGCGCCGTCAATAACGCCGCCCCTCCCGTGCGGTGTGGCAGGACTGGTGGAAGGTGGTGGAGGTGTGTGTGTGTGTGTGGTGGTGGTGGTGGTGGTGACGTTGTGGTGGCGACGATGTGGTCGTGTAACGTGTGCGGTGTGGTGGAAGATGGAGGTGTGTGTGGTGGTGGTTGTAGCGTTGCGGTGGAGAAGTTGTGGTCGTGTAACGTGTGCGGTGTGGTAGGACCGGTGGAAGGTGGTGGAGGTGTGTGTGGTGGTGGTGGTGCTGACGTTGTGGTGGCGACGATGTGGTCGTGTAACGTGTGCGGTGTGGTGGAAGATGGAGGTGTGTGTGGTGGTGCTGGTGGTAACGTTGTAGTGGAGACGACGTGGTAGTGTAATGTGTGTGGTGTGGTAGGACCGGTGGAAGGTGGTGGAGGTGTGTGTGGTGGTGGTGGTAACGTTGTGGTGGAGACGTCGTGGTAGTGTAACGTGTGTGGTGTGGCAGGACCGGTGGAAGGTGGTGGAGGTGTGTGTGGTGGTGGTGGTAACGTTGCGGTGGGGGCGACGTGGTAGTGTAATGTGTGCGGTGTGGCAGGTCTGGTGGACGCTGGAGGTGTGTGTGTGTGTGCGTGCGTGCGGTGGTGGCGACATTGAGTGTGGCACGGCAGGATTGGTGGAAGGCGGACGTGTGTGTGTGTGCGGCGGTGGTAACGAGGTGGTAGCGTGGTGGCAACGTTGTGGCGACGTGTGTGGCACGGCAGGACTGGTGGAAGGTGGTGGAGGTGTGTGTGTGTGCGTGCGGCAGTGGTAACGTTGTGGTAACGTGGTGGTAACGTGGTGGTAACGTTGTGGCGACGTTGTGGCACGGCAGGACTGGTGGAAGGTGGAGGTGAACGACCGCCAGGGCTTCGTGCCGGCCGCCTACGTCAAGAAGCTGGACGCGTCGCAGTCGGCGTCGCGCGAGAACCTCCTGGACGAGTCGGGCAGTATCCCCGCCCGGCAGGAGCAGATCGACACCCAGTGAGTGGGGGGCGGGGGGCGGGGACACGTGTGGGTGGGTGGTGTAGCGGTGTGTAAGGTGTGTGTACGTGTGTGTGCGTGTGCGGTGACGTCACCGCCACTTAGTGGCGAATGGCGGTTGTTGTTGTTGTGTGTGCGCGTGGATTTTTACACGAGTGTAAGGAGTGTGTGCGAGTGTGGTGCTGGCCACCCCCCCTCCTCGTGTGCCAGAGTGCCGGCCTTCATAGGCGCTGCTACTCGCTAACAGCACTTGCCCCAACAGTGTGTTCAGACTATACGGGGGTTCTTTGTCTTTGTGTGGGGAGCGGTCGGGGGAACTGGTGCAGCATAAGCCAGTCACCAGAGGTCGCAAACGGGTTTTGATTCCTTACCCGTACCCTACCCGAAATGAGTGACAAACGGTGACTCACCAGTGACTCACGGCCTACCCGTACCCGGCCGCACCAGGGTCGCAAACGGCTACCCGTACCCGGCCATCGGGTAGGGTATCGGGTACCCGGTTGCGACTTCTGCCAGTCACCCATGGCACCTGCAGGGTCTGTCCCGTGACCTCTTGCCGGCGGGCGTTCGACACTTCACGCGATAACCTTGAAGTGCACCGCGCCTGGCACAAGCGCCGCGGTGATGTCACCGCCGCTTAGTGGCGAATGGCGGTTGTTGTTGTGGGGCTGCGGTGGTGCTATCTGCCAGTCACCTCCGCCGGCACCTGGGTCTGTCCCCGTGCCCTCCTGCCAGCAGCAGCAGCAGCGAAAGCCTTCGGCATTTCACGTGCACCTGGCCTGGCACGGCGCCTTGGTGACGTCACCGCCGCTTGGTGGCGAAGGGCGGGTGTTGGGCATGTCGCGGCAGGGAGAGCCGAGTTCGATTCCCCGTTCGCGACCCATAGCAGTGGCCTCCCCCAAGGTCAACTTGGCCTGAAATGTGTGCCTGGTGCGACGTGTAAAACATCGGCACTGGGGAGACAAAGGCGACCGGGCGGGGGTGGTGGTGCCCGCCAGCGGCGCTGGTCGTGGTGTGCGTCTGTGGATGGTTGTGCCGAGTGGTGCTGTGACGGTCTGGGAGCGTGAAGGGTCAACGGCAACAACAACAACAACGCGGCCTCCACTGTGGCCTCCGCACGGCCCTGCCCTGACACTTGTCTCCCACCGCCCGGCCCATCCCACCCTCGCCCCATACCCCATACCACATCCTCCTCGTCCTCACCTCTTCCGTGTGTCCGCGTCCTCCTCCTCCTGTGCTCTGTGTGCAATAATCCACCCACCCACCTCCTCCCTCGCCCGCCCGTCGTGAAGCGAGTCGTTCACGGCGTACTACAGCCTGGCCGTGGACGTGGGCCCCGACGCGCCAGCCCCCCCGCTGCTCTCGGCTTCCCTGAAGTAGGAGCTGGGATCTTAACGCAGCCAATACCCACACCCCCCCCCCGCCTCCCCCGCCTCCCCGCCCCACCTCGGTGCAGAGTGGGATAGACTCCCGGTGCATTGTGGGTCTCTAGTGCAGTGTGGGATAGACCCTGGTGCATTGTGGGATAGACTCCCGGTGCATTGTGGGTCTCTAGTGCAGTGTGGGATAGACCCTGGTGCATTGTGGGATAGACTCCCGGTGCATTGTGGGTCTCTAGTGCAGTGTGGGATAGACCCTGGTGCATTGTGGGATAGACCCCAGTGCATTGTGGGTCTCTAGTGCAGTGTGGGATAGACCCCGGTGCATTGTGGGTCTCTAGTGCAGTGTGGGATAGACCCCGGTGCATTGTGGGTCTCTAGTGCAGTGTGGGATAGACTCCCGGTGCATTGTGGGTCTCTAGTGCAGTGTGGGATAGACTCCCGGTGCAGTGTGGGTCTCTAGTGCATTGTGGGATAGACTCCCGGTGCAGTGTGGGTCTCTAGTGCATTGTGGGATAGACTCCCGGTGCATTGTGGGTCTCTAGTGCATTGTGGGATAGACTCCCGGTGCAGTGTGGGTCTCTAGTGCATTGTGGGATAGACTCCCGGTGCATTGTGGGTCTCTAGTGCAGTGTGGGATAGACCCCAGTGCATTGTGGGTCTCTAGTGCAGTGTGGGATAGACCCCGGTGCATTGTGGGTCTCTAGTGCAGTGTCGGATAGACCCCGGTGTATTGTGGGTCTCTAGTGCAGTGTGGGATAGACCCCGGTGCATTGTGGGTCTCTAGTGCAGTGTGGGATAGACTCCCGGTGCATTGTGGGTCTCTAGTGCAGTGTGGGATAGACCCCAGTGCATTGTGGGTCTCTGGTGCAGTGTGGGATAGACTCCCGGTGCATTGTGGGTCTCTAGTGCAGTGTGGGATAGACCCCGGTGCATTGTGGGTCTCTAGTGCAGTGTGGGATAGACTCCCGGTGCATTGTGGGTCTCTAGTGCAGTGTGGGATAGACCCCAGTGCATTGTGGGTCTCTAGTGCAGTGTGGGATAGACCCCGGTGCATTGTGGGTCTCTAGTGCAGAGTGGGATAGACTCCCGGTGCATTGTGGGTCTCTAGTGCAGTGTGGGATAGACTCCCGGTGCATTGTGGGTCTCTAGTGCAGTGTGGGATAGACCCCGGTGCATTGTGGGTCTCTAGTGCAGAGTGGGATAGACTCCCGGTGCATTGTGGGTCTCTAGTGCAGTGTGGGATAGACTCCTGGTGCATTGTGGGTCTCTAGTGCAGTGTGGGATAGACCCCGGTGCATTGTGGGTCTCTAGTGCAGTGTGGGATAGACCCCGGTGCATTGTGGGTCTCTAGTGCAGTGTGGGATAGACCCCGGTGCATTGTGGGTATCTGGTGCATCGTGGGATAGACCCCGGTGCATTGTGGGTCTCTGGTGCAGTGTGGGATAGACCCCGGTGCATTGTGGGTCTCTGGTGCAGTGTGGAATAGACCCCGGTGCATTGTGGGTCTCTGGGGCAGAGTGGGATAGACCCCGGTGCATTGTGGGTCTCTGGTGCAGTGTGGGATAGACCCCGGTGCATTGTGGGTCTCTGGTGCAGTGTGGAATAGACCCCGGTGCATTGTGGGTCTCTGGGGCAGAGTGGGATAGACTCCCGGTGCATTGTGGGTCTCTGGGGCAGTGTGGGATAGACCCCGGTGCATTGTGGGTCTCTGGTGCATTGTGGGATAGGCCCCAGTGCATTGTGGGTCTCTGGTGCAGTCTATGGGGGTCATCCCTTAGCAGCCCCCCTGGGAGCCTCACCACTTCCACCACATCACTCTCGACCACCCCCCCCCCCCTCCGCACTGTCGACCGCCTCCATGTCATCGCTCGTCCGTCGTTTGACCTCCTCCCATCATCCCACACTCGCCGAGTTGTCAACGGCCTGCCGCTGCTACTGCCGCCACCACGGCCTCTGTCCGTCTGTGCCTTGCTCTGTCTCTCTGTCTCTCGCTCTGTCTCTGTGTCTCTCTGTCTCTCTCTGTCTTTGTGTCTCTCTCGCTCTTTCTCTGTCTCTCTCTGTCTCTGTGCCTCGCTCTGTCTCTCTCTGTCTCTCTCGCTCTGTCTCTCTCTGTCTCTCTGTCTTGCTGTCTCTCTCTCGCCCTGTCTCTCTCTGTCTCTGTCTCTCTCTGTCTCTCGCTTTGTCTCTCTCTCTGTCTCTTTCTCTCTCTCTGTCTCGCTCTGTCTCTCTGTCTCGCTCTGTCTCTGTCTGTCTCTGTCTCTCTCTGTCTCTCTCTTTCTCTCTCTCTGTCTCGCTCTGTCTCTCTGTCTCGCTCTGTCTCTCTGTCTCGCTCTGTCTCTCTGTCTCGCTCTGTCTCTCTGTCTCGCTCTGTCTCTCTGTCTCGCTCTGTCTCTCTATGTCTCTCTGCGAACGCTGTTGTCTCACCCCACGGGTACGGCTGCGCTGCCGTGCCCCCCCCCACTACCCCCTCCCAACACTACCCCCACCCCCACTGTGTGCTCTCTAACGCTGCTCCCCCACCGCACCCCCCTCGCCCGCTCTCACGCTGGACGCCTGCATCAGGAGTGTTGCGAAGGAGACGGGCAGTGTCTCCCAGCGCATGCAGCAGATTCAGGACCTGTGAGTAGGCGCTGTCGCCCCCCCCCACTGCTGCCCCCCACTGCTGCCCCCCACTGCTGCCCCCCACTGCTGCCCCTCTCGCCTGCCCCCCCCCACCACCGGGCTGCCCTCCCCTTCGTCGTCCCGCATGCACGTTGGAGGTATGGGGGGGGGGACCGCATGCGTATCGGGCACGTGACGGTGATGTTAGTGGCGGTGACGGTGATGTTAGTGGCGGTGGCGATGGTGGTGACGGTGATGTTAGTGGCGATGGTGGTGAAGGTTGCGGTGATGTTAGTGGCCGTGGTGACGGTTGCGGTGACGGTGATGTTAGTGGCGGTGGCGATGGTGATGGTGACAGTTGCGGTGACAGTGGCGGTGATGTTAGTGGCGGTGGCGATGGTGGTGACGGTAACGGTTGCGGTGACGGTGGCGGCGACAGCGATGCAGCGGCTCGCGATGCAGTGGCTCGCGATGCACGCGTCGGTCGGTTTCCTACGCGCGCGGACGACCATTGACGACGACACGGCGCCCGAGCGAGATGGGGGACGGCTCCTGTGGCGGGAGCCATGAGTTTCCGATCAAGTATCGTGGTGTGTGGAGTTTTTAGTAGTGTAGTGTTATCGTGTCGCGTTCGTACGCTGAACTTGTTTCGCACCGCCGCACGTAACCAACCGTGCCAATAATTATCGGAGGTGCGGGGCACAAGGACAACCAACTAAAACACAACAACAATCGGCTCTAAAGAAACGCTTTTGGCAGTCGCGACGATGATATCGGAAGGGGAAGAGCGTTCCAGACGGCAATCGGTGCCTCCGGCGGTTCGTGGTGCGCCGGTGAGGATCGCCGCTGTTTCATGGTTCCGGTTCCTTCTCCGCATCGGGACGCCCCCCCGCCCCGCCCTACCTCGCCACCTCATCGCTGCTTGGTTGGAAGCGTGGCTCTCCCGCGCGCCGGGTGGCGCCGCCTACAACGCCGCCACCGCCCCGGTTTCACCGCCCGCATGCCCGGCCAATCACCTCGGTGTCGTGCCGCCCCCCCCCCCCCCCGCTCGCCCGCTCTGTTGCTCCCCAATTCGTCAAGGACATTGCGGGAGAGATTTGAGGTCACCCTGGGATGATGTGCGATGGGAGGATTAATTTAATCCTGGCTGCAATGCATCTTTGGGAGGAATACATAAAATTTCGATTGAAAGCTTTCGTGACTGCAGGGATTCATCTTCTTGGTTCTTTCGGTAAAGTCACGTAGAAGGGAAGTAATAAAATAATAAAAATAAAACATAATACAATAATTACATTTCGATTTAAAGCTTTCGTGACTGCAGGGATTCATCTTCTTGGTTCTTTCGGTAAAGTCACGTAGAAGGGAAGTAATAAAATAATAAAAATAAAACATAATACAATAATTACATTTCGATTTAAAGCTTTCGTGACTGCAGGGATTCATCTTCTTGGTTCTTTCGGTAAAGTCGCCACGTAGAAGGGAAATAATAAAATAAAATAATAAAAACAAAACGTAATAAAATAATTCTCACGACGTTTCGGCCACAATGCAAGCAGCCGTCCTCAGGTGAAGAATAGGTCTGTCAGAAAGACTCTGTCTATTTTATTTTATTATTTCCATTCTACGTGACTTTACCGAAAGAACCAAGAAGATGAATACATTAAGTGAAATACGCCGTTGGACGATTAATGTCACCCGAGGTGAAATGCATTGTGGGCAGATTAAATGCATGCTGGGTGCAATGCATCATGGGAGGATTAAGCTCACTGTGGAAGGTGAAATGCATTGTGGGGGGATAAGATCATCATCCTCGGTGAAATGCATTGTGGGAGGAGAAGCTTGTATTTCGCTCCTGGGTTTAAAGCTTCGAGTTTTAAAATCGTGTGGGCGTCGTTTGACTGTGCGGTTCTGTCCCTGCGTGTACGCTACTCCCCCCACCTCCCCCACCGCCCCCCACAATGCCCCAATCCCCCCCACCACGGCCCTCACCACCTCAACCACCTACACCACCCCCACCACCCCCACCACCTCCACCACCCCCGCCACCTACACCACTCCCACCACCTCCACCACTCCCACCATCTCCACCACCTCCACCACCCCACCACCTACACCACCCCCACCACCTCCACCATTCTCACCATCTCCATCTCCACCACCCCCACCACTCCCACCATCTCCACCACCTCCACCACTCCCACCACCTACACCACCCCCACCACCTACACCACTCTCACCATCTCCACCACCACCACTCCCACCATCTCCACCAACTACACCACCCCCACCACTCCCACCACCACCTCCACCACCCCCACCACCCCCACCACTCTCACCACCTCCATCGGCCCACCCACTCCCACCACTCTGACCACCTCCATCGGCCCACCCCACTCCCACATTCCCCCACTGCCCCCCACGCCGCCCACCCCCCATCTCCACCACCTCCACCACCCCCACCACCACCTCCACCACTCCCACCATCTCCACCACCTCTACCACCTCCACCACCTCCACCACCCCCACCACCTACACCACCCCCACCACCTCCACCACCCCCACCACCACCTCCACCACTCCCACCATCTCCACCACCTCTACCACCTCCACCACCTCCACCACCCCCACCACCTACACCACCCCCACCACCTCCACCACCCCCACCACCACCTCCACCACTCCCACCATCTCCACCACCTCTACCATCTCCACCACCTCTACCACCTCCACCACCTCCACCACCCCCACCACCTACACCACCCCCACCACCTCCACCACCCCCACCACCACCTCCACCACTCCCACCATCTCCACCTCCCCCACCACCTACACCACCCCCACCTCCTCCACCACTCCCACCATCTCCACCACCACCTACACCACCTCCACCAACCCCTACCACCTACACCACCCCCACCACCTCCACCACTCCCACCATCTCCACCACCTCCACCACCTCCACCACCCCCACCACCATCTCCACCACCCCCCCGCCCCCACCACCTCCACCACCCCCACCACTCCCACCGCCCCCCCACGCCGCCCACCCCCCCCACCACCGTTCCCATCACCCCCACCAACACCTCCCCACCCCCCCCGCCCCCCCCGCCCCCACCCGCCGGCCCCCCTCTCATCCAGGTACAAGTCGCTGCAGGAGCTGGGCGAGAAGCGCAAGGACATGCTGGAGAAGTGCTGCCGGCGCTTCCTGCTGTCGCGCGAGGCCAAGGAGCTGGAGGCGTGGATCAGCGAGAAGGAGGGGGCCCTGGCGGCGCACGAGACCGCCGCTGACCTCGAGCAGGTCGAGGTGCTGCAGAAGAAGTTCGACGACTTCCAGAAGGTGCGGCGGGGACCCTCGGGACTTGTCGCCCGCTACCGCCCCTCCTCCTTCTCGTCGTCGCCCGCCACCCACCCTCGTCGCCCACCACCGCCACTCGTTGCCCACCCTTCTTCGCCCGCTTGCTGTGCGCGTGCGCTGTGTGCACGTATGTATGTTGACCTCCTTTCACGCCGTACGTAGCCAACCGCGCTAATTGGAGTTTGCATGCGGTGCGCGCGTCTGTGTTGTGCCTGCGTCTGCGGTGTGCCTGCGTGTCTGCCGTGCGTGTCTGCCGCGCTGCGTGTGCCGTGCGTGCGCTGTGTGTCTGCCGTGCGTGTCTGCCGTGCGTGTCTGCCATGCGTGTGTGCCGTGCTGCGTGTGTGCCGTGGGTGTCTGCGTGCTGCGTGCTGCGTGTGCCGTGCGTGTGCGGGCGAGCAGGACCTGAAAGCGAACGAGTCGCGTCTGCGTGAGATCAACCGCGTGTCCGACGAGCTGGAGGCCGACGGGCTCATGTCCGACGAGGCGCCGCTTGTCCAGGCGCAGGTGCAGGTAAGGGCAGCCAAACCGGCTTCCTCCTCCCCCTCCTCCTACTCCTCTGCACACTGCTGCTGCTGCTCCATGCTCCTGGGCCCGTGCGGTGTGGTGGTGATGATTTGGTGTGGCCCGTACACACTCGCCTCACCCACTCACTCGCTCACTCTGACCCGCTCACTTACCTCTTGAGTCAACCAGTCACTCAACCAGTCACTCACCAAGTCACTCACCCACTCACTCACTCACCTCATCCACTCACTCGCTCACTCTGACCCGCTCACTCACCTCTTGAGTCAACCAGTCACTTAACCAGTCACTCACCCAGTCACTCACCCACTCACCCACTCACTCACACACTCGCCCACTCACCCGCTCATACACCTCTTGAGTCAACCAGTCACTCAACCAGTCACTCACCCACTCACGCTCGTACTCACTCGCTCACCTCACCCACTCACTCGCTCACTCACCTCTTCAGTCAACCAGTCACTCACCCAGTCACTCAACTAGTCACTCACGCACTCGCTCACACACACACACACACTTGCCCACCTACCCACTCGCTCAACCATTCTCACACCCACCCACTCACGCACCAACTCACCAAACCACTCACTCACCCGCTCATTCACCTACTCACTCAACCAGTCACTCAACCAGTCACTCAACCAGTCACTCACCCAGTCACTCACCCAGTCACTCACACACACGCCCAGTCACCCGCTCACTCGCCCATTCGCCCGCCCACCCACTCACTCACCCATTCTCACACCCACCCACTCACTCACGCACCAACTCACCGAACCACTCACTCACCAAACCGCCCACTCACCCAGGCACACATCCACCGCCTTCAAATGCATGTTTTGGGCCGTGTGGTGAGTGTGAGTTGCGCCACGGTGGCTCGGAGATGTTAACTACCACGCCTGGTCTACAGGATGTCGTGGGTTCAATCCTGACCCTGACTACGCCTGCTGTATATTTGGAGTTTGCGTGTCTCTCTCATCATCACGGTGGCTAGGAGATGTTAACTACCTCGCTAGGTATACAGGAGGTCGTGGGTTCGATACAGACCCTGACGATGCCTGCTGCTGCTGTATATTTGTAGTTTGCGTGTCTCTCTCTCATCATCATCACGATGGCTAGGAGATGCCAACTACCTCGCCTGGCATACAGGAGGTCGTGGGTTGTATCCCGACCCTGACGATGCCTGCTGCTGTATATTTGGAGTTGGTGTGTCTCTCTCATCATCACGGTGGCTAGGAGATGTTAACTACCTCGCCTGGTATACAAGAGGTCGTGGGTTGTATCCCGACCCTGACGATGCCTGCTGCTGTATATTTGGAGTTTGCGTGTCTCTCTCTCATCATCATCACGATGGCTAGGAGATGCCAACTACCTCGCCTGGCATGCAGGAGGTCGTGGGTTGTATCCCGACCCTGACGATGCCTGCTGCTGCTGTATATTTTGAGTTTGCGTGTCTCTCTCTCATCATCATCACGATGGCTAGGAGATGCCAACTACCTCGCCTGGCATACAGGAGGTCGTGGGTTGTATCCCGACCCTGACGATGCCTGCTGCTGTATATTTTGAGTTTGCGTGTCTCTCTCTTCCCATAGTCGTGTGGATTCTTCCCCGGTTCCTTCTGTCGAGCTGCTAGCATTCGTGATGGCCACTGTCGCTTCTCGAAATAACGAGCTTACACATCAGCAGCTCGGGGCGGGGTCCTTCCTCGCCGGTGAAAATAACAAAGTTCGAGTTCTCGTTTAGAGCGCGATGACGACGTTTTGAGTCTGAGCCGTGTGTGCTGTCATTTGTGCCCCCCCTCCCCTGACCCCCCCCCCCTGCCCTGACCCCCCCCTCCCCCTGCCCTGACCCCCCCCTGACCTCTGGGTGTGGGAACTCGCACAGCTGCAGGTGAGATGTCTCACAGACCTCCCCTGCACGCAGATCCCACACACGCAGATATACCACACGCACATACACCACACACATATACCACACGCAGATCCCACACACGCATATACCACACGCTCATACACCACGCACATATACCACACGCAGATACACCACGCGCATATACCACATGCAGATCCCACACACGCATATACCACGTGCACATACCACACGCACATGCCTGTCTCGTGTCGCCGTGTCTCTGCGTTGCCGTGTGTCTCTGCGTCGTCTTGTCCTGTGTCTCTGCGTCGTGTCTCTGCGTCGTCTCGTCCTGTGTCTCTGCGTCGTCTCGTCCTGTGTCTCTGCGTCGTGTCTTTGCGTCGTCCTGTGTCTCTGCGTCGTCTTGTCCTGTGTCTCTGTGTCGTGTCCCTGCGTCGTCCTGTGTCTCTGCGTCGTCCTGTGTCTCTGCGTCATCTTGTCCTGTGTCTTTGCGTCGTCCTGTGTCTCTGCGTCGTCTTGTGTCTCTGCGTCGTCTCGTCCTGTGTCTCTGCATCGTCCTGTGTCTCTGCGTCGTGTCTCTGCGTCGTCCTGTGTCTCTGCGTCGTGTCTTTGCGTCGTCCTGTGTCTCTGCGTCGTCCTGTGTCTCTGCGTCGTGTCTTTGCGTCGTCCTGTGTCTCTGCGGCATCTTGTCCTGTGTCTCTGCGTTGTCTCGTCCTGTGTCTCTGTGTCGTCCTGTGTCTCTGCGTCGTCCTGTGTCTCTGCGTCGTCTCGTCCTGTGTCTCTGCGTCGTGTCTCTGCATCGTCCTGTGTCTCTGCGTCGTGTCTTTGCGTCGTCTTGTCCTGTGTCTCTGCGTCGTCTTGTTCTGTGTCTCTGCGTCGTCCTGTGTCTCTGTGTCGTGTCTCTGCGTCGTCCTGTGTCTCTGCATCATCTCGTCCTGTGTCTCTGCGTCGTCCTGTGTCTCTGCATCATCTCGTCCTGTGTCTCTGCATCATCTCGTCCTGTGTCTCTGCGTCGTCCTGTGTCTCTGCATCATCTCGTCCTGTGTCTTTGCGTCGTCTCATCCTGTGTCTCTGCGTCGTGTCTCTGTGTCGTCCTGTGTCTCTGCGTTGTCTTGTCCTGTGTCTCTGTGTCGTGTCTCTGCGTCGCCGCGTCAGTCTTACGCCGTGTCTCATTTCTGCTGCACAGGAGGGGGCATCTCCCGGCTCTGTGAAGGTAATGGCCGTCTCCACCCCCACACTGCCCCTCCCCCTGTCACTCCCCCCCCCCCCCCACAGTGCTCCTCCCCCTGTCTCACCACAGCTACCCCCACCTGTTCCTCGTGTCTCACCATGGCTGTCCCATTCGTCTCTCCACGCCTGTTGCCCCCCCTGACCCCCCCACGTCAGTGTCATTTTTCGTTTGGTAGAAGAGTTGTTGGGGGGGTGGGTCACGTGATTCTTAGCGCCCCCGGGCCGTGAGAGTGTTGCCGTGGTGACGCCCGACCCCCCTCCCTCCGCTTGTCGTTTCAGGACGAGACCGACACCAAGATGTCTCCGTGGAAGGTGAGGCGGGTGGGGGGCGCGGGGGGCAGGGGGCGTGGGGGGCGCAGGGGGCAGGGGGGTGGGGGCCGGTAACCTCCCAGGGTCGGGGGGAGGAGGGGTCGATGTCAGGTTTGGCTGCTGTTAACGTCAACACGGTGACGACCACTTCACACGGTGAAATGGCGATTGACTTCCGCTCGACGTTTTGGTGACGTTCCGTTTCCGGCGCGGCGGCGCCGCCGCCACTGTGGCCGGGAGATCTCTCCCTCGGCCGGGCTGGCGGGCTGGCGGGCTGGCGGGCGGGCGGTTGGGTCGGCACGCGGATCGGGGTAGCGTCGATTCCGGGCGCCGGTTGCTGACGACGATTTTTCCGTTGCAGACGGTGAAGACGGCGGTGCAGTCCGTGGCCACCTTCAATAGCATCAAGGTGAGCGTGGGTCGGTGGTGAGCGTGGTGAGAGTTATTGAGCGGTTGGTGAGGGCGGTGGCGAGTGTGTGCGTGGTGAGCGGGTCGGTGGGGAGGGTCGTGAGTATTGCGAGTGTGCGTGGTGAGCGGGTCGGTGGTGAGGGTGGTGGATGCGTGTGGTGAGTGTGTGGTGAGTGCGTGGTGAGTGGGGTGGGTGGTGCGTGTGGTGAGTGTGTGGTGAGTGGGGTGGGTGGTGAAGCTGGTGAGTGTGTGGTGAGTGTGTGGTGAGTGCATGGTGAGTTCGTGATGAGTGGGGTGGGTGGTGAAGCTGGTGAGTGCGTGGTGAGCGGGTGGGTGGTGCGTGTGATGAGTGCGTGGTGAGTGCGTGGTGAGTGGGGTGGGTTTTGCGTGTGGTGAGTGCGTGGTGAGTGCATGGTGAGTGCATGGTGAGTGGGGTGGGTGGTGAAGCTGGTGAGTGTGTGGTGAGTGTGTGGTGAGCGGGGTTGGGGGTGAAGCTGGTGAGTGTGGTGGTGAGCAGGAGCTGAACGACCGGTGGAAGGCGCTGCAGGACCTCGCTGAGGAACGGTCCCAGAGCCTGGGCAGCGCTCACGAAGTGCAGCGCTTCCACCGGTACCCTCACCACACTCGCCCACTCGCCCGCTCGCTCACTCGCTCACTCGCCCGCTCACTCACTCGCCCGCTCACTCACTCGCTGACTCACTCACTCGCCCGCTCACTCACTCGCCCGCTCGCTCACTCGCCCGCTCGCTCACTCGCTCGCTCACTCACTCGCCTGCTCACTCACTCGCTGACTCACTCGCTCACTGAGCCTCCTACTCGCCCGCTCGCTCACCCACCTAGTTACCCACCCGCCCACCCACTTACTCACCCGCCCACCCACTTACCAACTCTCTCACCCACAAACTCACCCACCCACTCACCCACTCACTCACCTGCTCACCCGCTCACCCACTCACCCACCCAACCACTGACTCACTCAATCACCCTCTCACTCAACTGCCCACCCACCTTACCCGCCCACTCACCCACTCACTCATCCACTTGCAGGCCCACTCACTCACCCGCCCACTCACCCGCCCACTCACCTGCCCACTCACCCGCCCATTCACCCGCCCATTCACCCGCCCACTCACCCGCCCACTCACCCGCCCACTCACCCACTCACTCATCCACTTGCTGGCCCACTCGCTCACCCGCCCACTCACCCACTGACCCACCCACTCACTCACCCACCCACTGACCCACTCACTCACTCGCCCACTTACTCGTCCACCCAACCACTGACTCGCTCAATCACCCACTCACTCAACTGCCCACTCGCCCGCCCGCCCACTCACCCACTCACTCATCCATTTGCTGGCCCACTCACTCACCCGCCTACTCACTCACCTGCCCACTCACTCGCCTACTCACCCACTGACCCACCCACTCACTCACCCACTCACTCATCCACTTGCTGGCCCACTTGCTCACCCGCCCACTCACCCACTGACCCACGCACTCACTCACTCACCCACTGACCCACTCACTCACTCGCCCATTCACTCGTCCACCCAACCACTGACTCGCTCAATCACCCACCCACCCACTGACCCACTCACTCACCCGCCCGCCCACTCACTCATCCACTTGCTGGCCCACTCACTCACCCACTGACCCACCCACTAACTCACCCCCCCGCTCACCCACTGACCCACCCACTAACTCACCCCCCCGCTCGCCCGCACAGGGACGCGGACGAGACGATGGAGTGGATCGAGGAGAAGAACCAGGCGCTCAACACGGACAACTTTGGGCACGACCTGGCGAGCGTGCAGGCGCTGCAGCGCAAGCACGAGGGCTTCGAGCGCGACCTCGCCGCCCTCGGCGACAAGGTCAGGGCCCGGCGCCGGCAGCAGGGGTGTACCGTCCCGTGTGTGTGCGCGTGTGTGTGTGTCTGTCTGTGTGTGTGTCAGTGTGTGTCTGTGCGTGTGTGTCTGTGTGCGTGTGTGTGTGCGTGCGTGTGCGTGTGTGTGTCACTGTGTGACACACACACGCTGCGCTATGAACCTGGCGACCCGGGTTCGATTCCCGCTCACGGCTAACACCAGTGACGATTATCTGAACCGGTCCTGGGCCTCCCCTAGGTCGACTCAGCCTTAAATGAGTACCTGGTGGGGTGTGTAAACATCGCCACTAGGGAGACAAAGGCGGTCGGGCGTGGTGCTGGCCACCCACCCCCTCGTGTACCGTTCCGGCCTTCATAGGTGCTCGCTAACAGCACTTGCCCCTACAGTCTGTTCAGGCTATACGGGGGATCTTTATCTTTGTGCGTGTGTGTGTGTGTGCGCGTGTGTATGTGTGTGTGTGCGCGTGTGTCTGTGTGTGTGTCTGTGTGTGTGCGTGTGCGTGTGTGTGTGCGTGTGTATGTGTGTGTGTGCGTGTGTGTCTGTGTGCGTTACAGGTTTATGTTTAATTCGTGGTTTAGTGGTGGTTAATTGAACAAATAAGCTTGTGCCGGAGGCCCCGGGGGGTCAGGCTTTTATGACGTCTCCTGGCCAAACCCCATTTGGCGGAGCCAGGAGATTGAATTTTCACCCTCGGGGCTCCTCCAGAAACAACAAAAAACCATTGCGGATGGCCACGTGGAATGTTCGAACGCTCACTGCGGAGGAGAGGCTGCCACTCCTCTGTCGGGAGCTGGACCGGTACCGCCTGGATCTCTGTGGCATTCAGGAGGTCCGGTGGACCGGTTCTGGCTCCTGCCACCATGAGGGGTGGACAGTCCTCTACTCGGGGCAGGAGACTGCCAAACAACAGGGTGTGGCTCTTCTTCTGAACAAAAGAATGAAGGGGGCGTGGGAGCGTGGCGGTGAGGTGTGGGAAGCTGTAAGCCCCAGGATACTTTGGGCTCGCCTTCCCATCAACCAGAGGCGAGGAGTGGTGGTCGTGGTTACTTATGCCCCCACCGAAGACGAACATCCGTGGAGGGATGCAGGCAAAGCCGATGAGTCAGACTCTTTCTATGACCTCCTGTCACAGGTGCTGGCTAAAGTGGCCACTCGGGACAGAGTCATCTTGTTGGGTGACTTCAATGCCCGAGTTGGTCATGATGCTGGTACCTGGTCTGGAGTGATTGGAAGGCATGGGCCAGATCAGCTCAATAATAACGGTAGGAGGCTGCTAGATTTTTGTGCAGCCCATGGGCTTGTAATTACCAACACGCTCTTCCGGCATCGGCGCATCCACACAACATCATGGATACATGCCGGGTCCAAGCAAGAACATCTGCTGGACTACATAGTGACGGACCAGCGGATGCGAACCCATGTCCTTGACACCAGGACCTACCGTGGAGCTGATCTGTCCTCTGACCATCGACTAGTCATCTGTAAGATGCGCCTGCCTTTCTTCCACTCCGGTGGTGGGTGTACACCCAGGATCCCATTCCAACCAAAAGTGGCCTGGTCTCAGTTAGCTGATGAAAGTTGCAAGCGAGAATTTCATCATCGCTTGCAGCTGGGGTTGGCATCGTCCCCCACTCCACCTGATGTCGAGGGGAAATGGGCGAGGTTTAAGACTGTGACTCATGCAGCTGCAATGGCTGCTTTGGGTACGCGGTCCAGACCTCCCCAGAAACCCTGGCTGACAGAGGAGGTGTTCAGGTTAATTGAGAAAAAGCGTCAGGCCCACTCTCATCGCCTACAGCATCCCACGTCAGAGAATGAGGAGGTTTACCGCAGCCTTCGTTCGGAAGTTCGGAGAGCCGTAAGGCGCTGTAAGGATGAGTGGTGGTCGCGGGTTGCTGAGGAGATGGAGACTGCCTCAGTGGCCCGTGATCACAAATCACTATTTAACTCCATCAAAAAAGTAACCTGCAGCGCCACACCTATTACCATCATTAGAGGAAAAAACGGTAATCAAATCTCCGACCCCCAGGAACAGGTTTGCAGATTTGCTGAGCATTTTTGTGAGGTCCTGGGGGAGGGAAATTCTCTCAGCCAGGAAAACATCATGGCACAAAGTGGTGATAACCCTGCTGAGGCTGCGGTGCCTCAAATATTGGAAGAGGTCACCCCCTGTGAGTGGCTGGCTGAGGTGCCAGCTGTTGAGGAAGTACTGAGGGCGATCCGGAGTCTGAGACCAGGAAAGGCATCGGGCAGAGATGATCTCCCAAGCGAAATGCTGAGGGAGGGTGGCGTTTGTGCACAGACTGCCCTATATGACATCATAACAACAGTCTGGACCACTGGACGGGTTCCGCAGGACTGGAAGGATGCCCTGGTGGTTCCCCTCTTTAAGAAGGGGGACCGTACCGACTGTAACAACTACAGGGGCATCTCACTCCTCAGTGTGCCGGGTAAGGTCCTGGCAAGGATTATTCAACATCGCCTTGCTAGGCACGCTGAGGAGAGGCTTGCGGAGCCCCAATGCGGTTTCAGGAAAGGGCGGTCCTGCACAGATGCCATATTTTCTGTCCGTCTGCTACAGCAGAGGTGTAGGGAATTCCAAAAAGACCTACATCTCTGCTTTATTGACCTGGTCAAGGCCTATGATACCATCAGTAGGACTGGGCTCTGGGTTGTTCTTCGTGCTTTCGGAGTCCCTGACCCTCTGCTCACGATCATTAAGGACCTTCATGATGGTGAGCGGGCCCGGGTAAAACTACGTGGCCGGGAGTCGGAGCCTTTCCCTGTACACCTTGGGGTGCGACAGGGATGTCCTCTGGCTCCCACATTATTTAACATCTATTTTGACCGCGTAGTTCGTGAAGCCTTCAATAGCTGTACCGGGGGAATTTCCATTTGGTACAGATATAATGGGAGGCTGATCGACGCCCGGGTGCGATCAAGGGATGGCTCCCTATTGGTCAACCACGTTATGTATGCCGATGATTTGGTAATAGCTGCTCATTCAGAAGAGGAGTTGGAGGCGCTGCTGCTGAGACTGGAGCGTGCCACTAAGAGGTGGGGCCTTACCATCAGCCCCACCAAAACTAAGCACCTGCCTGGGTATTTTGTACCATCGGACACTCCACCCCCACAACTCCCAATTGGTGATGGGGCAGTTGTGGAGAGAGTGGAGAGTTTCCCATACCTGGGCAGTGTGCTTATGACCGGCTCCAGTCTATCAGCAGAGGTCTCACTCCGAATCAGTCGAGCGGCAATATCTTTTCATCGGTTGCGTAACGCTGTGTGGAAGCTACCTGGTCTGTCGCTCCGCACGAAGCTTCAGGTCTTCTCGGCCACGGTCATTCCCTCCCTTCTCTACGCTTGCGAGACGTGGACCCCCCTGGTGGAGCATCTTCGCCGGTTGGAAACATTTAGGCTGGCCTGCCTACGATCCATCCTGGGTTTAACCAGGCTGGATTGTGTGAGGAGCTCACAAATCCTTGAAAGATCTGGGCAAAGTCCCATCAGTGAGCTCCTCCGGCAGGCAAGGCTGCGTTGGCTGGGTCATGTAGCCCGCATGCCCAGCCACCGCATGCCTAAACAGCTTTTGTTCGGCCGGATCGAGGGGGCCAGACGGGCGCGGCACGGGCTGGAGAAGAGATGGAGTGATGTGGTACAGGAGGACGTGGAGCTGAGTGGACTTGCCGATGACTGGTACCAGCGGTGTCAAGATCGGCCTCAGTGGAGGAGGCTCGTGAAGGACGCTACTGGGCAGTTGGAGGCAGTCGCCCTCCAACAACAACGGAGGGCGGAGGAGCGACGCTCACAACAACGAGCGGAGCGCCGGGTGGCTAAAGCACAGCAAGTTGGCACAGTAGGGGGCACAGGTGGTGCATCAGCCAGTCATCTCGGTCATCTCGGTCAGTCGACCAGTGGCACCTGGGTCTGCCCCGTGATCTCCTGCCAGCGGGCTTTCGACACTTCACGTGGCCTCAAGGTGCACTTGGCCTGGCACAAGCATCGTGGTGACGTCACCGCCACTTAGTGGCGAATGGCGGTTGTTGTTGTTGTTGTCTGTGTGCGTGTGTGTGTGCGTGCGTGTGCGTCACTGTGTGTGTGTGCGCGTGTGTGTGCGTGTGTGTCTGTGTGCGTGTGTGTGTGCGTGCGTGTGTGTGTAGCGGTTAGCGCTACGCTGCGCTTAGGAACCCGGCGGCCCGAGTTGGATTCCCGCTCACGGTCAACACCGGTGACGATTATCTGAACCGGTCCTGGGCCTCCCCTAGGTCGACTCGGCCGCAAACGAGTACCTGGTGCGGTGTGTAGTAAACATCGCCACTGGGGAGACAAAGGCGGCCGGGCGTGGTGCTGGCCACCCACCCCCTCGTGTGCCATTGTGCCAGCCTTCATAAGCAGTGCTCGCTACTAACAGCACTTGCCCCTACAGTCTGTTAAGGCTATATGGGGGATGTTTGTCTCTGTGGTGCTGGCCACCCACCTCCTCGTGTGCCACAGCGCCGGTCGCCTTCATAGGCGCTGCTGCTACTCGCTAACAGCACTTGCCCCAATGGTCTGTTCAGGCTATCCAGGGGGTGGAGTGTGCGTGGGATCTTTGTCTTTGTGCGAGCGCGACGCGTCGAAAAACGACACGCGGCCGCCGTGACCTCGCGATGCGAATGACGGAGGTGTGACCCCCCCGCCCCGCCCCCCCCCCCCCCGTGCCTCACCCCCCCCCCCCCTCTCGCCCTCGCCCAGGTGAACTCCCTGGACGAGACGGCTGATCGGCTGACCCAGAGTCACCCCGAGTCGGCGGGCGACTTGCAGGAGAAGCGCACGGAGCTGAACCAGGCGTGGGGCGCGCTGGTCAAGCGTGCTGACCAGCGCAAGGGGCGGCTCAACGACTCGCACGACCTGCAGCGCTTCCTCTCCGACTTCCGGTGCCCAGCCCCCCCCACCCTCGCCCCCCCCCTTCGCCCGCCCCCTCACCCCCCCCCTCGCCCCCCCCCCCTCGCCCGCCCCCCCTCGCTCGCCCGCCCTCGCCCCCCCCCCCTCGCCCCCCCTCGCTCGCCCCCACCCCTCCCCATGTATCGCTCCCCCCCCCCCCCCCCATGTGTACCCCGTGTCTCCCCTCTGTGTGTCGCTGTGTGATCCCCGTGTCTGTCCCCCGTGTCTCCCCAAAATCTCCCCCCCCCCGTGTCTCCACCTCGTGTCTCTTCCCCCCCCCCCCCCCTTCCCGTGTCTCCACCCCATGTCTCCCACCCTTGTCTCCTCTGTGTGTCTCTGTGTGTCTCTGTGTGACCCCCGTGTCTGTCCCCCGTGTCTCCCCCATATTCCCCCCCCCCACCCCGTGTCTCCAACCCGTGTCTCCACCCCGTGTCTCCCCCCCATGTCTCCTCCGTGTCCCCTGTGTCTCCCCTCTGTGTCCCTGTGTGACCGCCATGCCTGTCCCCCGTGTCTCCCCCCCCTCCCCCCCCAATGTCTCCCACCCGTGTCTTCCACCCGGTCTCCCTGTGTGACCCCCGTGCTTGTCTTCCCCATGTCTCCACCCCGTGTCTCCACCCCGTGTCTCCACCCCGTGTCTCCACCCTGTGTCTCCCACCCGTGTCTCCTCTGTGTTCCTGTGTGACCCCCGTGTCTGTCCCCCGTGTCTCCCCCATATCTCCCTCCCCCATGTCTCCCGTGTCTCCCTTCCCCCCCCCACCATTTGTTCCCGATGTCTCCCCCCCCCCCGTGTCTCCACCCTGTGTCACCACCCTGTGTCTCCCCCCTCGTGGCTCCCACGTGTGTGTCTCCCCCTTGTGTCTCCCCCTTGTGTCTTCCACTTGTGTCTTCCACGTGTGCCCCCCCGTGTCTCCCCCGTGCCACCCGTGTCCTGGTGACCTCGGTGACTCTTCATGTCCCCTGTGACCTCCGTGTCTCCCCCGTGACCCAGAGTCTCCACTCCCCCGTGACCCCCCACGTCCTGGTGACCCCCGTGACCTCCGCGTGTCTCCCCCGTGACCGCCCACGTCCCGGTGTCCCCCCCGTGACCCCCGCATGTCTCCCCCGTGACCGCCCACGTCCCGGTGTCCCCCCGTGACCCCCGTGACCCCCCCGTGACCCCCGCGTGACCCCTGTTGTCCGCCGTGCGGCAGGGACCTGATGTCGTGGATGAACGGGATCCGTGGTCTCGTGTCGTCCGAGGAGCTCGCCAAGGACGTGACGGGGGCCGAGGCTCTGCTGGAGCGCCACCAGGTGGGCGCACACACACACACACGTGGACACACACGTGAACACACGCATACACACGCACACGTGTACACACACGTGTACACACACGTGTGCACACACGCATACACACGCACACGTGTACACACACACACACGTGTACACGTGTAGACACATCACGTGTACACACACACATCACGTGTACACACACACACACGTGTACACACACGCAGACACACGCACGTGTACACACACGCACACACACGTGTAGACACATCACGTCAACCCACACGCACACACACCACGTGTACATACACGCAGACACGCACATACGTGTACACACACGTGTACACATGCAGACACACGCACACACGTGTACACACGCAGACACATCACGTCTACCCACACGCACACACACCACATGTACACACACGCAGACATACGCACACACGCGTGTAGACACATCACGTGTACCCACACGCAGACACACACGTGTACACACGGACACACGCACACACCCCACGTGTGCACACGTGGACACGTACACACGCACACGTGTACACACATGTGTACACACGCACACGTGTAGACACGCACACACGACGTGTGCGCACACCATCTACACACACCGCATGCACACCTACACCACGTGTACACACACACACGTGGACACGCACACACACCACGTGTACACACACACACGTGGACACGCACACACACCACATGTACACACACACACGTGGACACGCACACACACCACATGTACACACACACACGTGGACACGCACACACACCACGTGTACACACACACACGTGGACACGCACACACACCACATGTACACACACACACAAACGTGGACACGCACACACACCACGTGTACACACACGCAGACACACGCACACACACGTGTAGGCACATGCACACACGCACACATGTACACACACGTAGACACACGCACACACGTGTGCACACACGTGTACACACACGCACACACACGTGTAGACGCAGACACACGCACACACACGCACACACACGTGTACACACGCACACACACGTGTACACACACGCAGACACGCACATACACGTGTAGACACATCATGTGTACACACGCACACACGCACGCACACGTGTAGACACATCATGTGTACACACGCACACACACAACACGTGTACACACGCACACGTGTACACACGTGTACACACACGTGGACACACACACACACATAGGTACACACACGTGGACACACGGGCACACACGCACACGTGTAGACACGCACACACCACGTGTACACACACACACGCACACGCCGCACACGCCCGAACCGGGCCCCGATTATCTCGCTTCACCGTGACCTCGCGACCCCCTCCCACCTCCCCCCCGCCCCTCCCCCGCGGCAGGAGCACCGCACGGAGATGGACGCCCGCACCGGCACCTTCCAGGCGTTTGAGCAGTTTGGGCAGCAGCTGCTGGACCGCAACCACTACGCGAGCGCGGAGGTGCGGGACAAGCTGGCGGGCCTGGACGGCGAGCGCTCGGGCCTCGAGAAGGCCTGGGCCACGCGGCGCATGATGCTCGACCAGTGCCTGGAGCTGCAGGTAACCTCGCTCGCTCACCGCGGCGCTCACCGCACGGCGCTCACCGCGGCGCTCACCACGGCGTTCACCACGGCGCTCACCACGGCGCTCACCGCACGGCCGGTGCTCGCCACACTCCACCGTCGGTCGGTCAGTGTGCTGCGTTGACGGGTAGCGGTGCATCGGCCGGTCATGTAAGCCGGTCAACCCATGGCGCCTGCTGGGTCTGTCCCGTGACCTCCTGCACCTAGCCTGGCACAGTAGGGGTCACAGGCGGTGCATCGGCCAGTCATCTCAAGTCAGTCAACCCATGGCTCCTGCTGGGTCTGTCCCGTGACCTCCTGCACCTAGCCTGGCACAGTAGGGGGCACAGGTGGTGCATCAGCCAGTCATCTCAGTCGGTCAACCCATGGCGCCTGCAGGGTCTTGGCCGTGACCTCCTGCACCTAGCCTGGCACAGTAGGGGGGGTACAGCTGGTGGTGCATCTACCGGTCATCTCAGTCAGTCAACCCATGGCGCCTGCAGGGTCTGTCCCGTGACCTCCTGCACCTAGCCTGGCACAGTAGGGGGCACAGGTGGCGCATCTGACAGTCATCTCAGTCGGTCAACCCATGGCGCCTGCTGGGTCTGTCCCGTGACCTCCTGCACCTAGCCTGGCACAGTAGCGGCCACAGGTGGTGCATCTGACAGTCATCTCAGTCGGTCATCCCATGGTGTCTGTGTTCGCTTAACAGCACTTGCCCCGACAGCCCGTTGAAGGCTATACGGGTGGGGATCTGATAATTGTTTTTTTACCCTTCTATCTGGCAACAAAACTGACACCTTTTTTGCGAGGAGTCATGTTTGCATAGACCACAATACCTGCAGTCGTAATGCAAACAAAATACATAACTCTGATAATGTATGCACTGTCCTTGAAGTTGATTGGTCCACACCCGATTGTCTGCATTGTCTTTGAGTTGTGCGCCTTTTGGTGTCATCTGGTCCAACACCATGTGAGACTAGGCTCTAAGGAAAGCTGTCTCGGGTGTGAACCAATCAACTTCAAGGACAGTGCATACATTATCAGAGTTGTGTTTTTTGTTTGCATTGTGACTGCAGGTATTGTGGTCTATGCAACATGACTCCTTGTAAATAAGGTGTCAGTTTTGTTGCCAGATAGAAGGGTAAAAAAAAATGTATCATGTTTTTTACCGGCAAATGAGGTTCCAATGGGGTGGGGATCTTTAACCTTTGTGGCCGTCCTACTGCGTACTAACCCGCCCCCCCCTCTTGCCCCCCCCCCCAGCTGTTCAACCGAGACTGCGAGCAGGCCGAGGGCTGGATGGCATCGCGCGAGGCCTTCCTCGCCGTGGACGACAAGGGCGACTCGCTGGACAGCGTCGAGGCGCTCATCAAGAAGCACGAGGACTTCGACAAGGCCATCAACGTGCAGGTGGGCAGCCCGCCTCTCACGGGGGCGGCGCTCGTCTTAGAGCAATTTCGGGAACCTTTTTGCCTGGGAGAGCCATAAAAGCCAAATATTTCAAAATATTTTTTGATTTAAAGCTTTCGTGACTGCAGGGATTCATCTTCTTGGTTCTTTCGGTAAAGTCACGTAGAAGGGAAGTAATAAAATAATAAAAATAAAACAAAATATTTTATTATTTTTATTAATTTATTACTTCCCTTCTACATGACTTTACCGAAAGAACTAAGAAGATATTTCTAAATATATTTCATTGAGAGCCATATAGTAATTTTTAACGTATAATAAATTAAATATGTCTTACTTTTAATGCGACTTCTGGCGCTGCGTGGTTTTGCTGATGGCCTTGTGTAGTCTGGTTCATACGTGGTGAGGTTGAGCTTCGTGCAGGCGTGACCCGTGAAATTTATCTTCAAAACGAATTTCTGTTTACTTTAAAATGACACGGTACTATTAAGCAATATCACAAGTATTTTAAAATCAGTTCCAAACGGATTTTATTTCTTTTTAAATCCTTTATATTAAGTTCGCATGCTTGCTTGCTTGCTTGCGTGCTTGCTTGCTTACGACCGTGCAAATCTTTCGGTCGTTTTTTAACCCACTTCCCATGATCCAATCGAGCTGACATTTTGCACACAGACTCGTTGTGCCAGACAATTAATGTTCGTGAAAAAAAATTCCCAAAATTTTACACTTTTTAGGCAAAAAAAAATGTATTTTACATATATTCAAATAGAACTCATTCATGGCTTTGGCTGAACGTCAGAGTGTAAGAGCCCAGAGCGTAACCCCTCCACAGGCCGTGGCGGAGTAGTGCAGTTGGTAGCGCCCTCGCTTCCCATGCCAAAGGTCGCGGGATCGATCCCCGCGTCCTCCACAGGCGAATATATTTTTAAATCCTTTATATTAAGTTCGCTGCCACGCATATAAAGGATTTATAGTGAAAAACTTAGTTTTTACGGGTTATACTTATTTCAACTCAAAATTGTCTGGGAGCCATATGCCGTCACTGGAAGAGCCCATATACGGCTCGCGAGCCATAGGTTCCCGACCGCTGTCTTAGAGAGACTGGAGTGGAGGGGGTGGTGGTTTCTCGTACGCTGTGCGGCGTTGTCTACGGTGTCTTTTGAATCGGCTGCGCGGGTGTCTGTCGGTGGTGCAGCGGTTAGCGCTACGGTCGCGCTACGAACCCGGCGACCCCGGGTTCGATTCCCGCTTGCGGCCAACGCCGGTGACGATTATCTGAACCGGTCCTGGGCCTCTCCTAGGTCGACTCGGCCTCAAATGAGTACCTGGTGCGGTGTGTAGTAAACATCGCCACTGGGGAGACAAAGGCGGCCGGGCGTGGTGCTGGTCACACACCGCCTCGTGTGCCGTGCCAGCCTTCATAGGTGCTCGTTAACAGCACTTGCCCCAACAGTCTGTTAAGGCTACATGGGGGGTCTTTGTTCGTGCGTTTGTGTGTCCGCGTGCGTTCGCATATGTGTGTTAGCATATGTGTCCACGTGTGTGTGTTCACGTGTGTGTGTTCACGTGTGTCCACGTGTGTTAGCGTGTGTGTTCACGCGTGTTCACGCGTGTTCACGGGTGGGTGTTCACGTGTGTGTGTTCACGTGAGTTTACGTGTGTTCACGTGTGTGTGTTCACGTGTGTGTGTTCACCTGTGTGTTCACGTGTGTGTGTTCACGTGTGTTCACGTGTGTTCACGTGCGTCGACGCAGGAGGAGAAGATCGCCGCGCTGCAGTCGTTTGCCGATGAGCTCATCTCGTCGGATCACTACGCCAAGGGCGAGATCGGACACCGGCGTGACGAGGTGCTCGACAGGTGAGTGGGGGGTGCGTCCGTGTGCGTGTGCGTGCGTCAGCGCGTGTGTGTGCGTGCGTGCGTCAGCGTGTGTGTGCGTCGGTCATCTCGGTTGTACCCAATGGAACCTGGGTCCGTCCCGTCACTTCCTGGCACCAGCGCGGGAGCCCTTAACGACTTCACAGTGACGTCACCGCCATTCGGTGGCGAAAAGCGTCAGTTGTTCTTGGCGTCCGCGTGTGTCCGTGTGCGCGTGTGTTCGCGCCCACATTTGCCTGTGCCCGCGCCCGCAGGTGGCGGCGCCTGAAGGCGCAGATGATCGACAAGCGCTCGAAGCTGGGCGAGTCGCAGAACCTGCAGCAGTTCAGCCGCGACGTGGACGAGATCGAGGCGTGGATCAGCGAGAAGCTGCAGACGGCCACAGACGAGTCCTACAAGGACCCCACCAACATCCAGGTGAGCACAGGGGTCGCAGGCCGGGGTCACAGGCCGGGTCACGGGGTCGCGGGCTGGGTCTTGGGCTGGGGTCGTGGCCTGGAGTCACAGGCCGGGTCACGGGGTCGCGGGCTGGGGTCTTGGGCCCGGAGTCGTGGCCTGGAGTCACGGGGTCACGGGGTCGCAGGCCTGGGTCTTGGGTCGCGGTCATGGCCTGGGGTCACGGGTCGGGGTCGTTGGGGTAGAATCACAGGCCGGGTCACGGTGTCGAAGACCTGGGTCACGGGCCGGGGTTCTGGCCTGGAGTCACAGGCCGGGTTACGGGGTCGCGGGTTGGGGTTTCGGGCCTGGGTCGTGGCCTGAAGTCACGGGGTCAGGGGGTCACGGGCCAGGGTCACTGTTCGGGGTCGGGGGTCACCGCCAGTGATGGCCGTCGGCTGCGTTTGTTCCGGGGGGCGGGGGTGGGGGGGTTGCTGGCGACCGCTGATGAAGACTGCAGAATACAAGCCGAGGAGAGTTGCGGGGAGTCGTGGCGACGTGAGGAAGAGCGGCTGGCCGGGCGGGCAGGGCGGGGGGGTGGTGGGGGGGGGGTGGGTGGCTGGGTCAGGATAACCGCAGCGTTGCGCTCCGTGCCGAGTGTTTAACTCTCTCTGTCTCCTTTCTCCCCGCGCGGCTGCCAGCTGTCCAAGTTGCTGGTAAGTTGCCGCGGTTAGCCGTAGCCGTCATCTCTCTCTCTCCCCTCCCTCCCTCCACCCATCCGTTCCACCGTCTCTGCATGCGGGGTCTCGCAGGTGCGAGAGGTGCCGCTTCTCCTCCCAGACAAACCCCACCTCCCCTCCCCACCCCACCCGACCACGCGGGAGGGCAACGCGGAATTTGAACCTCGGGCATTTAACACTTTCCCCGCGTGGCAGAGG